GAGCCACACCAGCCAGAGCTGTTTCCTTTCTTTTTAAAGTATAGAGCCTTTCTCTTGTGAAAGATCAATCCCAGGACACATGTTTATTTCACTTTGCCCAGGACTTGGTTCTGCCTTCTGTCCTTACCTCCCTTGCATCTAGGATCAATGTTATTGTCCTGCAAACATGTTAGATTATTTCCCCCCAAAGTACAAAAAACCCTACCTTTGATCTTCACATTACAGCTGTTGCTTCAGTTCTGTTTGCCATTTCAACATTTTTTGCAAGAATCAACTCCATGAACTTTAATTTCATGTCCTTTCCTCTCATTTATAGTCATCCTACTCTAATCTAATTTTCAGTCCTCTCCCATGTGCTGAAACTGTGTCCATGCTCAGCAACAGTATCTGTGTTGACATACGCAGTGGGCACTTTTCAGTTCACATTCTGTGAGATCCCAGCTGCATTGACCTAATTGACCAGTCCTTCCTGCTGGAATCACTCTGCTTTACTTCTGTGCCCACACCAGGCTCATGTTTTTTCCATCTCTCAGGCCACTTCTCACTTCAGCCATGTTGCCTTATTCCTCATCCTGTCCAGCCTAAGTTCAGGAGTTCCTCACAGCTTGACCATTGTCTTTCCTTTCTCATAATACACAGTACAATGATATTATCCCTTGTCTTGGTTTCAGATATTATTCACATGACTTCTCAAGTTTATATCTGTACGTGAAACCTTTTTGTCTGAACTCCATACCCATATATTCATCTGTTCAATTGATATATGCTCTTGGATTTCTCACAGGCATCTTAAATATAAGGAGAAAAAATTTTGTCTTACCAGAATCTTAATGCCCATTTCAGAAAGCTCTCTCTTTCATTCTTCCCCATTTTTGTAAGTGGTATCACCAACATAGAGTTGCCCGAGCCAGAGCCCTGGCGTGTAGCTCAGTTGGTTAGAGCATCATATCTATACACCAAGATTGAGGGCTCGATCCCTGGTCAGGACAAATGCAAGAATCAACCAATGAATGCATAAGTGGGAAAACAAATAGATGTCTGTCTCCCTCTCCCTCCTATTCTCTCTCTAAAATCAACTTAAAAAACATAGTTGTTTAAGACAGAACTTAGAGATCATTTTTTAAAAAGTTTATTTTTAGAGAGTGGGGATGGGAAGGAGAAAAAGAGAGAAACACTGGTTGCCTCTCATACACCCCTCACCGGAACCTGGCCCACAACCCAGGCATGTGCCCTGACCGGGAATCAAACTAGTGACCTTTCTGTTTGCAAGCCTGCACTCAATTCAATGAGCTACACCAGCCAAGGCTAGAGATCATTTTTGATACCCCCTTTTCCTTTATCCCCCACCTGTCTAATATATCACAGGTTTTAGTTGTTCTAGGACAAACACCTTTTAACTCTTCCCACCAAATTGGAGGCCTTGTCTGAAATTAAAAAGCTCAGGCCTCCTTTTTCCACTGAGAAGATGATTCAAATATGTATAGGATAGTCTTGCAAAATTAATTTGGACCTTCTATGTAAGTATGTTTACCATAGAATTGTCTTAAAACTTTTGAAACAAATATAAATTGTCACCATTAAAATAAATCATTAAAGCACTTATAAAATGTATTGTAAGCAATGCAACTTCCTATTGTACTCTCCAAGATGAAGTCAATGTTAAAAGTACATAAAAGAAACTAATTGAAGTATAAAATAGTTAAAAGTTTGATACCCCTACCAAAAACAATAGTTGTTATTTTAAAATACAGGTTCCTAGTTCCCTTCTTGAAACCTTTGAGGCAGGTTGTGTTTTGAAATTCAAATTTAGTTTTTTTAATATGGTACATAAGCCACACATAACATTTCCCGTGGAACCTTTGATACTATCTCATAATCATATTAATATTTCTGTAGCAAAATATATGACTACTCACACTACAGGGGTCAAAATTAAATAACCTCATATTAGTTCAGATTAAGTTTTGCTATCAGATGAGTTCAGATCAGATTAAATTTTATGACCAAAAGAGTTATGGGGAAAAAAAACCTTGTAGCTTTCAGTGTTTTGGATTTCTGGTTAAGGAATTATAGACATGTGCATGGTTTGTATCTTTCTAGTAATAATTAGGACATCTATACCAGATTTTTTTTAGGACACTCCCAGATCATGGGGTTAAAACCATATATATCTTCTGGAGGTATGAGGTGGCTCATTTTTCAGTTAAATGTAGCAGTAGGGTGTGTACCAGTAGGATCTCAAAGTGGAGTCAGTTCTTTAAGAATCAAGATTGGCTTTTTGTGTTAAAGTGCCATCTGAAAGTTTAATTACTTTACATTTCACTCTGAAAGATAACAATTTGAAGTATAGAGTGGTGTGCTTTAAAAATGAAGCTAGCTTTGTTCTGTGGCTCATAGATCATAATACCTGGAGGAGGTGGTAGTCTGTTTTGCTCATTTCACAGATGTCATTGATCTCTGGAAAGGCCATGCAAGGCACAGGAGGACCCCACATTTTCTGACTGTACACAGATCTTGTATCAGAGCGGAGTAGAGGGATCCTATCCCCCAAAGGAATGTAGAGTAAGAACCTTAAAGCTCACCTGAGGAGCAGTCTCCCCAGAGGAAGCTTCATGGTTAGGCAGTTTTATAACAATTGGAAACATGATGCACTGAAAGAACAAAAAGGCAGTTTAAATGTTTTTTGACTGGTTGAGACAAGTCTTACAGATTTCTTGGAGAGGGGATCATAAAAATATTAAAAAAACAAATTTTATGTGAGGTATAACTTTATGATATAAGCTTCCCATAATATTTAGCTTCAATATTCTTTCTTAGTTATGTTTCCTTTGCAGTCTTTTCTCTTTTTCTCATGTCCTATTGGAGTTTCAGGCAGACATTTCTTGAAAGAAGCCAAACATTAAACACCATTAAAACAAAATGAGATATATCTATAATAACTGATACAGAAAGATATCTATGAGATAGTATATTAGCAAGCTTTCTGCTGCTACTATAACAGATTATTACACACTTAGTGGCTTGATATAATACAGATTTATTATCTTACACTCCCTTAGGTTATCCAGTAAGTGTCTCTAGACTGAAAGGAAGGTGTCAGAGGGCTGCACTCTTTCCTGGAGGCTCTAGGAGATCATCTGTTTCCTTGCCTTGTACCTTCCAGAGGCCACTCCCATTCTTGGGTTTATTCCCCTCTCCCTGCCCAATCTTGAAACCGGCAATTGTAGCATCTTTCTAACCCCGTTTCTATCATCACATCTCTTTCTCTCCTTCTGCCACCCTCTTCCACTTTTAACATTGGGTCCACCTGGATAACCAGGATAATATCCCCATCTCAAGGTCAGCTGACTAGCAACCATAACTTCCCTTAGCCACATAACCTGACATATTCACAAGTTGTAGGCCTTAGGGTAAGGGCACGGTTGGGATAGTTGTTGTGCCTACTATACATAGTAACAAAAGAAAGTTGTAAAACAGTTTGGAGAGTTTTAATTCCCTTTGGATTTGAAAAAAATGAGAGGTAGTGAGAAATCATATGATGTAAGGTGAAATCCCCCTTAAAAAAAAAACTGTATTAAAGAATAGGGCGCTAAAAGAGAAGAGAGTTTAACTGTTTTATGCAGTTTCCCAAAAGATTCTCAACATTTTTGAATGTTAGGCAGTAGGACGAAATTCTGTTTATATCCAGTTAATCAGTTGCAAAGCTTCCTCCGGCATTTCCCCACCCTCCCAGAGGAGTTCTCAGGTTTCTGTTGGGTATTGTTTAACTCTAATCAAGGCAACAGTTACTTCCTGATCTCTGATAGATAAGCACAAGATAGATATGGCTTCAGAATTTCTCTGTATACCACGAACTATACATTTTACATAAAGTTAATAACAGTCACACATAAAACATAGTGTCACTTAATCATACTTATCAAATTAAAAGCATTTATTAAATCTATTCAGATATATCTTTTGTTTACATAGTACCCTTCATCCAACTTTGAATGATTCAGAATAACTCTAAAACAAGTATTAGGTGGAGAGTAATTTCCTCCAGGTATACAGATGGGAAACTGTAAGAATTCACAGGCAGCCTGGAGTCAACAGATGGACCTTACATCACTCCTGCTGGTATGGGCTGTTTCCAGAGCACAGTGACCATGCTACATCTTCTGCAGAAAAGTCAGACATTTGGCCCCAGTATTTTTGTAGTTCACACACAAAAAAAACCTCACTGCCTTTATTTTCATGAGTTTTGTTGCCCTTAAATATGAGAATTTCATAGTTGAAATGGATTGAGCATTTCTGTCTACCTGTTTATGTTTCTCTTTATTAAATATTTCATTTCTGAACTGATGGGTCATGATATTTGTACTGTAATTTTTATATAGCTCCTTTCTATTCATGGGTTGATTTAAAACATATTTCATTCTTCCCTTTGGATTATGGTTTTGAATTGAGGTTGATTTTAGGAAAATACTGCTAGTTCTAATAAAGGAAAAATTCCTGTTTTAAAATGTAACTTTTTGTGTGCATTCTGAAAAATACAAATTAAAACTACTTAAATCTAATACATTACTGGAGAGATTTTAGGAATTCTTACTTAATTGGTATTTAAATGTTCATGTATTCCAGAGGCATTTAAAAAGTAACCTCAATGTTTATGAAATTAACTTAACACATCGAGTTTTCAGATTGAACCGCCTTCGTTAATAATAAAAACAAACTAAAGTTTGTTGCCTGACAAAGTACAACTTATTTGTAGCTAGTCTTCCTTTGACATTACTTTGGACAATCAACAGGCATTTTTATACTTCAGTGGACAGGCTCAGTCTAGATATTCCTCTTTGGCAGGCAAGATACGAAATAGTTTAAATAGTTTCACTGCATATTTATTGCCCAGTGAATGTGCACTTGTCAGAGGGCTTCCTTTTTTTTTTTTCCTCTTTTTTTAATCTGTGGGATAAAATAGCACAATATTCTTTTACTGTTCTTTGTGTTTTACCATTTAGATCTTTAATTACTGTAAAGAGGAAATGATTTGGTGATGGAGTGCTCCCACTGACTCATGGACTCAAATAAGAGAAGGTAAAACATTTTTTTTCTTTCTTCCCCATCTTTCTAGGAAAACACAACAAACAATTCCACATATGTGTAGCTTCTTTTCACTTTAATTGTCTTGTTGATAGTTATTAAGCAGGAATAGTGAGTGATATTTGTGTTCATTGGTAAAGAAAGATATTAAAATAAAGCTAATTAGTGACCAGCTTTGTTGCTAGTTCCTTTCTTATGCTTATACAAGGCACACAATATCTTCATTCCATTATAAAGCCTTTGAAAACATTTTTTCTCAAACAATTTCAGGTTTTTAGAAATAGCCATATTAATTATAATCATCTTCTATCTTTAGAAAACTGGTCATGGATGTTTTAAAAGAAAGGTTAAGTTTGTGGCTTCCCTTCCATGAAACCGTGGTTTATATATAATTGTGCCTAATTATAATTTAGAGAAATGTTATTTGGCAAAAATTACTATGTATTATGAAATAAAGAAAACCAAAAAAGTTTTTGCTCCTTATTAAAATATTGACATCAGTGTTTTATAAAAAAGAAGATGAAAAAAATGTACTGTTAGTGGTGGCACATAGAAAAACTCTATATAATGGAAACCCAGGGTATCTTAATATGCCCTTTTCTTAGAAGGGGAGGCAGTTAGGATGTGGTCATTGTTATGCAGCTGCGTGTTTTGTGTTCTTTGAACCAGAGCTATTAGATGGATAGATAGAATTTTTTGGCTAGAACGTGAGAAGAATATGAAGGATTTTATTGGTACCTATTATAAATTTGGTTCTTAAAAATTGTAATGGGGGAGGGAAGTATAAGGGGATTAAATGGTAATGAAAAAATATACAATAAAGATTAAACTGAAACAAATGGTAATAGCAATTATACACTAAACTCAGTATAAAGTGAAATATGGATCCCTGTTGCTTCTATCTTTCTCATCAAATACTTTTTTAACCACTTTTAAAACTAAGTTTTAAAATAAGATTCCAGCTTGGGCCATGTTATAACATTAATATCTAAACAAGGAATTAACATATTAAGAATTTAGATTCTTGACTTTTTATGCTACTAAATCATAAAACTTCAAAAAATAATCCAAGTTTTATTTGCTTCTTTTTTTTTTATTTATTATTTTTTTATTAATTAAATTTATTTATTTTTTTGAATTGATTATGCTGTTACAGTTGTTCTATTCCCCCCTCCATTTCCCTCCACCCTGCCCCCCCAACCCCACCATTACCCCCCTTTAGTTTATGTCCATGTGTCTCAAGTCCTTTAGGTTCTATATTTCCCAAACTATTCTTGCCCCCCCCATCTATTTTCTATCTACTGTCTATGCTACCTGTTTTCTGTACCTTCTCCCCCCCTCTCCTCCTCCCATTCCCCTGTTGCTAACCCTCCTTGAGATCTTCATTTCTGTTTCCACTCCTGCTCTAGCTGTCCTTTTAGTTTGCTTTCGTTTTAGGTGTGGTTGTTAATAACTGTGGGTTTGTTGTCCTTTCACTGTTCATGTTTCTTTATCTTCTTTTTCTTAGATAAGTCCCTTTAACATTTCATATAATAAGGGCTTGGTGATGATGAACTCCTTGAATTTGGTCTTATCTGAGAAGCACCTTATCTGTCCTTCCGTTCTAAATGAAAGTTTTGCTGGGTAGAGCAATCTTGGTTGTAGGTTTTTAGATTTCATGACTTGGAATATTTCTTTCCAGCCCCTTCTTGCCTGTAAGGTCTCTTTGAGAAATCTGCTGACAGCCTGATGGGGACTCCTTTGTAGGTGACTGTCCCCTTAGCTCTTGCTGCTTCCAGGATTCTTTCCTTCATTTTAATTTTGGCTAATGTAATTATAATATGCCTTGGTGTGTTTCTTCTTGAGTCCAACTTTTTTGGTACTCTCTGGGCTTCTTGGATTTCTTGGAAGTCTATTTCCTTTGCCAGATTGGGGAAATTTTCTTTTATTATTTGTTCAAATAGTTTTTCCACTGGTGGTTGTGTCTTTCCCCCTTCTGGTACCCCAAATTCGGATATTGGAGCGTTTAAAGATGTCCTGGAGGTTCCTAAGACTCTCCTCATTTCTTTGAATTCTTGCTCCTTGACTCTTTTCTGCTTGTCCATTATTTGCTTTCTTCTGGACCCTTGCATTGATTTGAGTCCCAGTTTCCTTTTCATCTCTATGGGATTCCTGTGGAATTCCATTCATTTCCCTTAATTTAGCCTCCATATGTTTCTCTAATTTGTGGCTGTAATCCACCAAATCTGTGAGAAAGGTGATGACCAGTGTTTTAAACTGTGCATCTGAGAGTTTTGCTATTTCTTCGTCATTTAGATTTATCTCTGGGGCTTTGAGTTCTGCCTGCGACATTTTTGGTCTGTTCTGGCCCTTTAAGTGGGACAAGCGGCGCCTTGGAGTCCCAGGTCGCTGGGTTGTGACGCTGTATGTGGGGGTGTGGTCAGAGCGGGAAATGGCCGCCGCCGCCGCTGCTGCCGCTCACCAGGTCCAATCCTGGGTTTGGAACCCGCGTAACTGGATTCGCGCGCCGATTCCGCGCCGGTCCGACCGAGCCCTCCTTTGTAAGTCCTCACCGGACACTGGTTTCGCACCTTACCGGTCAGGCTGAAGAATTTGTTGTTAGCGGACTTCCGAAAAGTTCAGTTTTCCGTGTTCTGGTTGTGTTTTGTGATGCTAATATTTAGTTGTCCCTAAACTTGGTTGTGTGAGGAGGCAGGCACATCCAGCTAAACCTCCATCTTGGCGGAAGTCTTATTTGCTTCTTAGATAAAGATAAATTAATATGTGGGTTTAGATTATCACTGTTTATATAACTAGTTTTGTCTCCACTCCTGTGTCATAACCAAAGCATAAAATAGATGCTAAATTATCCGACCCAGTCTCCTATTGTGCTGGTAAAAGGTACAAATTTCAGGAAAATACTAAGAACAAAAAATACAACTCTGAATTGTAGGAACATGTAAGCAATTTTTCTTGATGTTTGTAGCTCAACAGAGGCAGAAGGATCCAAAGAAAGAGGCCTGGTCCGTGTCTGGCAGGCAGGATCCTGTTCTGTGACACCAGAGAGACTGCCAGGCTGGGGAGAAAAGACAGTTCTTCAGGCAGCCCTCGGAGTGAAACACGGAGTTCTTCTGACTGAAGGTATTGGAAAGAATGGCTTAACAAATACTGTCTGAAACTCTTAACAAATGCCTGAGTGTTTAAGAGCAGGTAAGAGAGTTACTGGATGGGCGTTTTTAATGAACTTTGCTGGAGCTTATATTCTTTTGGTTTTTGAAATATGTTCTTATTACCTAAATCAGAAATCAGATTAGTTTTTTAAATTTTAAAAAAGATTTTATTTATTTATTTTTAGACAGAGGGGAAAGGAGGGAGAAAAAGAGACAGAAACATTAATGTGTGGTTGCCTCTTATGTGGCCCCCATTAGGGACCTGGCCCGCAACCCAAGCATGTGCCCTGACTGGGAATCGAACTAGCCACCCTTTGGTTCACATCCCATGCTCAATCCACTGAGCTACACCAGCCAGGGCAGATTAGTTTTTATATTTAAGATAATATCATACTAAGAATAAAAGGGAGAAGGATAGTTTTTCAATTGTATAGTAACAAGTACATGAAAAATTAACTTTTTTGCAAGATTACCTATCCAGAGACTCTTTTGCTATACCTTTGTTCATTAAATGTACCGGAATAATAATACTAATAATAGCTAATGTCTATTAAACAATTTTATGTGCCATCCACTGCACCAAGCACTTTATTATGTCTTCGAGTCTTCATTAACTACGATTATTATCCCCACTTCACAGATGAGGAGGCTGAAGGTCAGGGAGGTTAAATAATTCTGTAATCACAGCTAGCTATACATTAGAATGTCAGAGTCAGGATTGGAACCCAAAGTCTTAATTTCAAAGCCTGCCTTTTAAGCCACTTGGTTATACTGTCTCAGTAGTTTTTCCAGGTATAAATAACAGCTCATAGGAACTGCTAATAATAAAATCTATAAATCTATAACAGATAGAAATATAGACTGAAATTTATATAGAAAGTTGCTTTAATTTTAATGGCAGTTTACGCACTCAGTTGTGGTGAATTTGATTTGGGTCAGAACTGCCATCACCTTCACTGATTTATAAACTTCTGCTCTGTAAGCATTTATTGAGTAATCAGTGATGCTTTGCTATTTTCCTTGGAGACACTAAGTGAAGACAAATTCTGGGAAATAAAGCTTAAATCTGACCTTGGTAGTTTTACAGGCTTAACATGAATTTTTTAAACTTTAAAAATATTAAATAACTTTTCTTGTAAGAATATATATTATATTAAGCTAGAGTTTGGCAAAAGGCTTATTTTAAAAATGTGAACTATATTTAATACCTGCCTATGGGCTTAAGATACATAGTTCTTAAACATATATAGGTGGAATTCTGTTATTGTTTTATTAGCCCTTCAGTAAGATATTTAGGAACCTTCAAGAATATGTTATCTTTAAATATGTAGAATCATACCTACAAGGCTGGGACAACTGAGGGAAAACTTTTAAAAAATGGATAGCCTACCACTGTTTGTGTTGGAATTTTACTATTCTGTTTTTAAGTGTCAAAATTTGGGAAAATCTTCCCAGAAAGAAGTGTATAGTTTGAAATGGAAAAAAGATCTCCAGCGCTATCTTTTTGGGGTGAGAAAATGGTACTGATTGAATGCTAGAAATTTTCAAGTTTCTTTGTCTCTATTTTATTTGACCATTAGCTCATAATTCACTGAGGACATTTAATTGATTCACTATTTTTTCAAAATTGCTTGAGAAATTTCTCAGAATGTATTCCTGTTGTTAAGCAGCAGATGACTGTATATTACATATAACATTTACAAATTATACATCATGTGGTACACAACCTGAAGGCAGCCACATCTTATTAACACTGGTGCTTTCTGTACAACCTGGAGGTATAAGGCTAATTTCTTAATTTTGGCCAAAATGAACCTCTTAATATTTTTATGCCATTGCATAAATTTTCTGCTGTTCTCACTGAGTAGTCCCAAATGTTGTAGATATTAACAAATGTGTGTTATGATTAACAAATTTTATCTCCCGCTTATTTTATCTTGTCATGATCATTTTGCCTTGGCACAGTTGGACTCTGCTTTGGTACTAGCCTACAATCACTGCTGGAGTTTATAGGATGAGGCTGAAGGAAAGGAGCAATACCCTTCATTTGAAAATAGCATTCTACAATGTGTAGAAATTCTCACTATATTTCAGAATGTTAAAAGATGTTATTTACTAAAAGATGAATGAAGATGAGCCCTGGCTGGTGTAGCTCAGTGGATTGAGTACAGGCCTGCGAACTAGAGGATCATGGTTCGATTCCCAGTCAGGGCACATGCCTGGGTTGCAGGCCAGTTCCTGGCGGGGGACGCACGAGAGGCAACCATACATTGATGTTTCTCTCCCTCTCTCCCTCCCTTCCCCTCTAAAGATAAATAAATAAAATCTTAAAAAAAAAAGATGAATGAATTTGAAATATTATAGGCTTGAACCTAATGTCTATACTGTGATTAATTTTTTTAAAAAATCCTATTTTGTTAAACCTAGAGGGGATTAAAAGTTTGTTGATAAAATTTCTAATTAATTCACTAACTCCCTCCCCCCACATTTTTTTTCTTTTTGTTTTAACTTTCAGATGGTGCAGTCTACAGCTTTGGGAATCTTCCCTGGAGAAGTGAACCAGCAGAAATTTGTCCAAGTAGCCCCATTCTAGAAAATGCCCTGGTTGGGCAATATGCTGTTACTGTGGCAGCAGGGAGTTTCCACAGTGGAGCAGTGACAGAAGGCGGCGTAGTGTACATGTGGGGAGAGAACTCCGCTGGCCAGTGTGCAGTAGCTAACCAGCCGTATGTTCCAGAACCTAATCCTGTCAGCATTTCTGATTCTGAGGGCAGTCCCTTGTTAGCAGTCAGGATTTTGCAGTTGGCATGTGGCGAGGAGCACACTCTGGCGTTGTCAATAAGCAGAGAGATTTGGGCATGGGGTACCGGCTGTCAGTTGGGCCTCATTACCACTACCTTCCCCGTGACAAAGCCGCAAAAGGTGGAACATCTTGCTGGGCGTGTAGTGCTACAAGTTGCCTGTGGCGCGTTCCACAGCTTAGCGCTTGTACAATGCCTCCCTTCCCAGGATCTGAAGCCAGTCCCAGAAAGATGCAACCAGTGCAGCCAGCTCCTAATTACCATGACTGACAAAGAGGACCATGTGATTATATCAGACAGTCATTGTTGCCCATTAGGTGTGACCCTGTCAGAATCCCAGGCAGAAAACCAGCCAAGCACTGCCATCAGCGCCCCCACTGAAACCCTTGACAGCCAAGGAGAAGTATTTGAGAATGCTCTTGTAGAAAATGATCTGCCTGTAGCTACCAAAGGGAGTGTGGAAAATGTTCAGACCACAAGAGGCGATGCCATCTCCTCCCAACTAGACATCATGGGAACAACGGAAGTGTCTTCTGCTAGAAATGTACCATCATACCCCAACTGTCAGGCAGTAAATGAGTACATGCAGAAACTGACAGATCAGTCGAAAGGGGAGAACTCAGAGGACAGTGAAAAACCAGTGCCATCTCAGGTACCTGCTCAGTTTTATAATATAAAGCTATTTCTGGAGTTGAACCATCTGAGTTTTTCTTTAGAAACTTCAGAATGCCTAAGGCTTGGTAGCATTTTTTATTTTTTTAATTTGTCTATAAATGTGTCTCATAAAATAAGCCCAGATAAGGAAAAACCTAGATTAATTCAAATTACACTTTACGTTCAAATTCTCATTCTTTATGATGTGTGAAGAGGTCATACTGAACTTGTTTTCTAAGTAGCAAAATTCTTTTTTTTTCCCTTAGTACTTCTCTCCCCCGCCCCCGACCCCATGACTAAGGTGCTGCTTATTGGTGGGCCCTTGAATAGTTTAACAAAGATTCTGTTATAGTACTGAACGAGTTAGACCACCTGGTGCCAGCAAAGCCAAACATTAAACACTGAGAACTGTAGTGGAGACATATTGGCTCGTTTATTATGAATGGCACCATTCAGGAGAACAGGAAGCTAATGATCCAAAGCTGGAGCTCCTCGATGATGGCATGTAGGTTATTCAGGGCCAAATCACAAGACACCATGGGTTTGGCAGTTCAGGGTCATGCTGGGAGCTGGTTGGTCAGAAGTGTGATAAGAGTAGTAAATAATTTTTTCAGATCTTGAGAACAGTTCTGAGGTCTCTTCTGGTGTTCTTCTGTCTAGTCTCATGGGAAAGTAGCCAGGGGGTGGTTCCACATTAGGGCTCAGGACCTGGAACATAACTTGGCTCAAGATGTTACCTTTAGCCTGCCAGAGGCCAGGTCTTGTGATCATTAGTCAGGTCTGGGCTTCTTCAGGGGTTGCTGGTTATCCAGGGAAAGGGGTAGGTCTCTACAAAGAGAGAGAGAAATATAATTTCTAGAACGAGGACTTAAAGCTAAATTTAATCAAAGTCATGAAGACCCTTGGTTTCAATTCTTCTGACGTGTACACATTTTAGATTCTGAAGAATAAAGTCTTTCATTATCAGAGAAGATTGCTATGTAGCGGATCCTTCAGTTGTAAGACTTAAAAATGAAAAACCTTACTGGCATTACATTGAGTTTTTTTCAGTTATACCTTGGTCTTTACCAGGCTTTGTTCGGAGGGATGGTGGCAGTTAATATTTTCTCTATCTTATTTAAACTACTCTCATTTTGAAACTGGTCATAAATGGGGAAAAGTTACCAGTGGCATACAGTAGAGTTAGTCTCCTGACTAGAACAAATTGTTCTAAAATGATGTTTTTTTCTCTTATTGTAAGCCTCTTGATTTAGCTTTACCAAAATTCTCAGATAATAAAACAACAGAAAAAAGAAAACAAAACAAAATAAAAATACCTGATCATAAACGGAGTGTTTTTTCAGGTTTGTGAAATGACAAAGCTTTTGATTGTTTATTTCTGTTGTTTACTCCCTCAGAAAGAGAACATGACTTAGAAGTGTTCTTAAAAACAGTTTTATTTGACAGTCTAATCATTAAACCTAATGGATGTTTGATTTTTTTTTAATTAAGAATAAGCTGTTTGGAGAAAGGTATGATAAAAATCCAAACAAAAAGAATAATTTTGCAGTAATGCATGTACAAAATTTCCAGACTTGTACATGTTTATGAAAAAGTTTGACTTTTTAAAAGTCATACCTCTGGCCCTGGCTGGTGTTGCTCAGTGGATTGAGCACTGGCCTGCAAACCAGAGTTGCTGGTTTGATTCCCAGTCAGGGCACATGCCTGGGTTGTGGATCGGGTCTCCAGTGCGGGGCACACAAGAGGCATCCACACATTGATATTTCTCTCCCTTCTTGGCTTTCTGTCTAAAAATAAACAAACTCTTTAAAACAAAAGAAAATACATATTAAAAAAATAAAAAGTCATTTCTCTGATTTATTAAATTGAAGTTAAAGATTATCATGTATATTTTATTTGATTATTAGATTATCATTATTGAAACTGCATTTTTCTCTGTTTTTGTTAAACATTTAAAGTTTTTGCTACCTGTGCTAGTTTTTCTTTTTATTTAGACAGCAATTTTTTAATGTTTTAATTTAATTTTATTTTAATTATTTTTTATTGGTTATGTTATTGAAGTTATCCCAGTTTCTTTCGTGTTGCCCCCCTCCACCCAGCACCCTCCACTCTCTTAGGCAATCCCCATACCTTCGTTCATGTTCGTTGGTCATGCGTATAAATTCTTTGGCTACTCCATTTCCTATACTGTACCGTACAACCCCATGGCTGTTCTGTAACTACCAATTTGTGCTTCTTAATCCCTTCACCTCTTTACTCTTTCCCTCCAGACCCTCACTGCCCTCTGGCAACCATCAAAACATTTCTGCATGTATGCTTTTGTTTCTGTTCTTTTTGTTTTTTTAAATTCAATCATTGATTGATATGTATTTATTGCCATTTTATTGTTCATAGTTTTGATCATCTTCTTTTTCTTAAATAAGACCCTTTAACATTTCATATAATAATGGTTAGGTGATGGTGGACTCCTTTAGTTTTTCTTGTCTGGGAAGCTCTTTATCAGCCCTTCAATTCTAAATGATAGCTTTGCTGGGTAGAGCAGTCCTGGCTGTAGGTCCCTGCTTTGTATGACTTTGAATTTTTATTGTCACTTCCATGTAGCCTGCAAATTTTTTTTGAGAAATCAGCTGACAGTCTTATGGGAATTTCTTTATAGGTAACTAATTGCCTTTCTCTTACTGCTTTTAAGATTCTTTCTTTATCTTTAACCTTTGGCGTTTTAATTATGATGTGTCTTGGAGTGGGCCTTTTTGCATCCATCTTATTTAGGACTCTCTGTGCTTCCTGGACTTGTATTTCTAGTTCCTTCACCAAATTAGGGAAATTGTCTTTCATTATTTTTTCAGAACGTTTTTGCATGTCTTGCTCTTTTTCTTCTCCTTCCATCATCCTTATGATGTCAGTGTTGGTGTGCTTGAAGTTGTCCCAGAGGCTCCTTACAGTATCATTATTTTTTTGGATTCTTTTTTCTTGCTTTTCTTCTTTCTGATTGGTTGTTTTTGCTTCTTCATGCTCCAAATCTTTGATTTCAGTCTTGGCTGTTTGAGGTCAGCTGGTGATTGTTTGAAAGGCTTTAGGAAGATCTGAAGTATGAGGCATTCATATGGAAAAGTGACAGTTAAGAGTTTGGGTGGGCCCAGACTCTTGGGGTAAGTTGGGTGGCACAGAGTGACAAGGAATCACAAGGGGGGGTAAACAGTGTGAGTCAGATGGCTGGATTCTCAGATATGGTGCCTGCTGCTCTATGGCTCTGTGGGGGAGGCTCAGAAAAGGAACAGTGGCCTCTGCTAGCAGTTCTGTCTGGCAGAAAGCTGTCTCCCAGCTCTCTGCCTGACGCCAGACACTGCAGTTCCTCCCCATATGCCACTGGTGCCTTTCAAGCTACCTGCCTGGTGCTGAGGCTCATAGGATTGAGTGAGTCTGGGTAAGTCTGTGCATGGGCCCTTTAAGAGGAACTGCTTGGGAATATATAATTTCTTCTACTCACTCAATCCCCACTGGTTTTTACCACCAGAAGTTATGGGGACTTAACCTTCCTGGCACTGGAATCCCTCATTCCCAAGATATCCCTCCTGATTGTTATCCACCACATGTTGGTGTGGGATCAGCCCATTCTGTGTCTCTGCACCTCTGGGTCTCTGAGTCTCCCCCCTTCCTACCAGTGTGGATGGATGTGGTTTCTTCTTTAATTCTGTAGTTGTGGACTTCCATTCGGCTCGATTTCTAACAGTTCTGAGTGATGGTGGTTCTTGATGTAGTTGTGTGAGGAGGCAAGGCATGTTTACCTAGGCTGCCATTTTGGAAAAATCTCCCACCTGTGCTAGTTTTGGCAAGGTGTTTATACTACATTTAATTCAATTTTTGCAAATAGTGTGTGTGTTATATGGCTACTTCTAGGACAATTTTTTTTCTCCTTTGGCCAGATATAACTGAAAGAGCTTCTGTCTTTTGTGAAATAAACTAAAATATTTGTCAATGAAGCTTATTTTTCACTGTTGAATTTCATTATTGGTGGACAGGCACTCCTAAAATTAGGTCTTTCATCAACATTGCTACCTGTTTTTTTTGTTGTTTATTTATGTATTGTTAAATATAATTAAGCAGAGGAGCCTCTTAAAAACAATAGTTCAAAGTTTATGTAAGATAGAATTTTGTGACTTTTTTTTACTTAATGGTAAGAACATCCTAAAGTAGTCACCCCTAAATGCCATTGCTGCCTCTGTTAGGTGCCTTGGTAAACAAAAGGTAGAAATAGTGATGCTGGTTCTTGTGAACAATATCATGGGTACTGTGTTACAGGCTTTATATTGAACTTTTGTTTTAAATGGAACATTTATTTGTTAAATACAGGATTGCCAAAAGTAGGTTTACAGTTGTTTGCATGGAAAATAATACAGTAATTAATAAATAATAATACAAGAATAAGCTGTTTTTTGCATCCTAGCCATTGTAAACCTACTTTTGCTCTATGCTGTATTTTAATGACTCACTTGCACAGAAATAGCTGTCTTGAATTTAGTATTTAATTCAACAAATGTATTGACTATCTGTCAAGCACTGTGCTACTCAACAGTAGTTATTTCCTTTAAGATAATCACAAGCCACCCTAGCCAACTGCGGCTCAGTTGGTTGGAGCATTGTTTCATAGACCCAAAGGCTGAGGATTGATTCCCAGGCAGGACATATACTCAGGTAGTTCCTGGTCAGGCCCATCAGAGAAGGCACCCAGTCGATGTTTCTCTCTCACATTGATGCTTCTCTCTCCCTTCCTCTATATCTAAAATGGAAAAAAAAAAAAAAAAAGCCCTTGGGTAAGGATTTTTTTAAACATCAAAAGCCAATGTTAAAAAAATTTTTTTGGTTTGGTTTTTAGTTCAGGATAAATTAAGGAATGTGTATATATCCTTTGACCTTAGGGTAGCATAGGAAACAAATTGTTTACTGTGACCTGAGCTGGTAAGTCAAAGCTTTTTGTATATAATTATTTAGGTACTTTTTAATAAATAATGGTGCTTGACAGTTCACAGTAAATTTCGACTGATTTTTCATTAAGATATTAGAAAACTTTAGTTTGACATTATAATATAGCAATGAATAACACAAAGAACATTGGTTCCAAGTGTTTAATTATTAACCTACCACATTTACTCTTTGCCGTAGTGAGAGCAAAAGTAATAACTTCAGTTTACTTGGCCCCTGGGTCATGGAAAATAACTCATTGATGAAATAGTAGAAGGACTAAATAAACTAAGAGCATAATTTAGGGGCTGATAGGCCAGAGGTATAACTTATTTTTCTGCCTATATATGTTGTATCTAAATTTATATTTATAAAATATTTGAGGAAAAGCTTTTTTATTTTATTTTTTAAAATATTGTATTTATTTTTAGAGAGGAGGGAAGGGAGGGAGAAAAACATCAATCTGTGGTTGCCTCTCATGCATCCCCCACCAGGGACCTGGCTGGCAACCCAGGCATGTGCCCCAAGTGTGCATAGAACCCGTGACCCTTTGGTTCGCAGGCCTATGTTCAATCTACTGAGCCACACCAGTCAGGGCAGGAAAAGCTTTTTAAAAAACATACAATTTTTCCCTGATATTTCTTAGCATTCTATATAAATTTTCATAAAAGTGATAGATAATAAAACTTTCATCTTTCAACCTTGTGTTCAGGGCTGTCACAGTGTACTTCATATTAAAGATGATGTTTTTCACACCTTTTTTCTCTTGTCCCTTTTTACTCTGCGTAATTTTATGAAAGTAGCTGAGGCTTGTTTTTAAATACCATAGAAAAATATAACACTAAAAAGGAACTGTATTTTGTGTACTCATTTTTTTTTTAGATTTTATTTATTTATCTTTGGAGGGGAAGGGAAGGAGAGAGGGAGAGAAATATCAATGTATGGTTGTCTCTTGTTCATTTCCTGCTGGCAACTGGCCTGCAGCCCAGGCATGTGCCCTGATTGGGAATCGAACCGTGATTCTTTGGTTCGCAGGCCTGCGCTCAATCCACTGAGCTACACCAGCCAGGGTTCATTTTCATATAATGTCAAATCGATGATCAAGAGAGCAATATGTTTAAGTTGGAGATAATGAGACTTTTATATTACATACGTTCTTGTATGTGCAAATAGTGATGGGTGTTAAACATTTTTTACTGATTGCTATTGTATAAGGGATCATATTTTTATATACTTTTTTTATGTGTATGTATTTTAGCCTCTTGTAGAAGAAGCAATTCCCAGTCTTCACAGCCCACCAACCACAAGCACTTCAGCCCTAAACAGCCTGGTGGTCTCATGTGCGTCTGCTGTTGGTGTGCGAGTGGCTGCTACATATGAAGCTGGGGCCTTGTCTCTTAAGAAAGTTATGAACTTTTATAATACAGCCCCTTGTGAACCTGGAGCTCAGGCAGGCAGTGGTTCCATAGGACCAGAAGGTCTGAAGGATAGCAGAGAAGAACAGGTTAAACAGGAATCAATGCAAGGAAAGAAAAGTTCCAGTCTTGTGGATATCAGAGAAGAAGAATCAGAGGGAGGCAGCCGAAGACTCTCCCTCCCTGGATTGCTGTCACAAGGTAAGGAAATAGCCAGGTTTTGTGAACTGTCTTGTGCTGAATCCAAGATGCTCCTGACATCACATACTGTATTATTATAAATTAGCTTTCCAAATTGCTAAAGCTGACATTGAAATGTCAAAATTTATTTAATGATGGTTTTAAAAGAAAGTTACATATTTGTGTGCTCTAGAAATAAGTTGAGAACCTAACTTTTTTATGATGTACTCCTGCTTATGAACTGTATTATGAGCCTTATTTTGTTCTGGAATGTAGCAATGGCTTCCTTATTTCCTAGTTGGGGCCTATAATCCAGGTAGGTGAGGTTGCAGATGTGACCCTGGGATATATGCATAGTTATGTATTTGACCTAAAAGTAAAGATAACTTTAAGCATCAATAAGAGAAAAACTTCATTTTTTGAAACCACTAGCAATAAATGCTTGGAATATTAAGAATATTGTGCATTTGGTCCTACATTTCTCAGTCAATTTAGGAATCTTAGTCATCTAGACTTCTGCTTCTCAAAATGTGTCCTGCACACCAGCAATTTCAGTAGCATCTGGGAATTTGTTAGAAATGCGGGATGTCAGGCTCCTTCCTCTTCAAACCTAATGAATCAGAATATGCATTAGAACAACATCCCCAGGTGACTAGTGTGTGCTTTCAAGTTTGAGAAGTACTGCATTTGACTAGGAGTTGGCAAACTTTTTCTGTAAAGAGTTAAGAGATATATTTTATGACTTTTTAAAATATATTTTATTGATTATGCCATTACAGTTCTATTTCCGCCCTTCATTCCCCCCCACCATGCACACCCCCCCCACCATTCTCCCCCTTTAGTTTATGACCACGTGTCTCAAGTTCTTTAGATTCTATATTTCCCCTACTATTCTTGCCCCCCCCATCTATTTTCTATCTACTGTCTCTGCTACTTATTTTCTGTACCTTCTCCTCCCTTCTCCTTCTCCCACTCCCCTATTGCTAACTCTTCATGTGATCTTCATTTCTATGGTTCACTCCTGATCTAGCTATCCTCTTAGTTTGCTTTTGTTTTAAGGTGTGGTTGTTAATAACTGTGAGTTTGCTGTCCTTTCACTGTTCATCTTTTTTGTCTTCTTTTTCTTAGGTAAGTCCCTTTAACATTTCATATAATAAGGGCTTGGTGATGATGAACTTCTTGAATTTGATCTTATCTGAGAAGCACTTTATCTGTCCTTCCATATGATTTGCAGCCAATTTACATAGTCTCTGTTATAATTACTTAACTTTGCTGTTGTTGCTTAAAAGCAGCCAGAGATGATAGATAATGAATGATCAAAGGCATATTTCAATAAAACCTTATTTACAAAAATAAGCATTGGGCTGTGTTTGACTCACTGGCTACAGTTTACCAGCCCCTGGTTTGCACCACTTTGGTCAAAGCTCCTATATCATAATAAAATTTACCTTTTCTTCTCTGTCCTTTTTTCTACACTTCTTGCTCAAGTCATTACACTTTCTTGTGCCACTGAACACTTAAGTTACCCTGCCTCCTAATTCTCATTGCCACTAGATTTTCATCTATGCATAAAACCCATAGCCTTTATTAATTTGAGTATATATGTATAAAGAAAGCCCATGAATTGTATTAAGTCTGAAGGAGAATCTTGTGCCAAAATTTTCTTATTCTTAAAAGTTCTCTAGCATTTTATCTTTGAGATGTTTTTTATCACAAATGTGGAATATTGATTTTTGTTACACAGAAATGTCATACAGAATAGGGTTCTATGGACAAATGTTTGGAAGGGACCTGAATTAGACAGATATAAGCAGGGCTTTTAATCTCAGGACTTGTCGGTCCCTTTAGTATGTAAATGTATGTGTGACTTTACAAGCTGGTAGTGGAGGATAGAGTGTAATAGGCAGCATTTGCCAAACTTATTTGACTATTTTTGCAGAGAGCATATAGAATATGCTTCATAAAACCATGTTAGTGTGTTTCTTTGAAAATCAATAGTTTATCAAAATGATATTTCTTTCTCCTCCCCTCCCCCTCCCTCATCGGCTCCCTCACCCTGTCTCTGGTTTGTTTCAGTTTCCCCCAGGCTGCTAAGAAAAGCTGCACGGGTGAAAACACGGACAGTGGTTCTAACTCCTACCTACAGTGGAGAAGCAGATGCACTCCTGCCTTCTCTGAGAACAGAGGTGTGGACTTGGGGAAAAGGGAAGGAAGGGCAGCTGGGCCATGGCGATGTTCTGCCTCGGTGAGTGCTGCCAGTATTCACTGTCAGGGAGTGACTTAAGTAACCTGTCTCCTGCGAAGGTCTCCAAATCTTTATTTCATCATAGAGCAAATGTGGTCTCTTCTAATTCAGAATTTTATTATGAACTATTAACTCTGATTTAAAAAACAGCTGTCTTCTTAGTCTTGAGTTTGTTCCTAGCAATAAAGGACTTAAATATCCATGGTGTACCTTTCCATCCTATCTTCGATGTACAGGGTGGGGCAAAAGTGGGATTACAGTTGTTTGTATAAGAAAATAATACAGTAATTAAGAGAATAATGCAAAAATAAACTGTGTTTTGTGTATTCAGTTTGTACACAATTGTACAAACCTACTTTTGCCCCAACCTGTATATTCATCTTGAAACAGAAAAGCATGTTTGGGATAAGGTTGCATTTCATTGAATGATTCAAATTTTTAACTTATAAGGAAGGAACCAACATTGTTTTAGCCTCAAAGATATTTCTCAGCTGCTGCCAAAACAGCTGTAATTATAATATTAAACCATGTCTGTCCACATACCTCAGGGAAAAACTGTTGTTTAAGGGGAACTCTTATGATATTAACAAATTAGACATTTGTGAAGTTGTATAAATTGAATGATTATCTAAAACAGTCAGTTAATGTCTATTCTTAGCAGAGTGTAGGCAACTGTGGCATTAAAAAAAAAAAGACTTAACTCCTCCCGATGGTTGTATTTCATTGCGTCGTAAGTAGTCTCTCTACCACAGGACTCATTTAGAAGTTATGTGATTCTTACCATGTTCTGAATCATGATGGTTAATTAGTGATTGAAAGACAAACATTAAAACCATCCAAAATTAGTTCCATTTAGGAGTAGCTTGAACATATATCCATCATTTTTATTTCACTGTTTTCTTTTGAAATGTTTATTATTAAAAGCATTTACTGTATAATTTGAGAAAAGTCTTGATTCTTTCTGCAAATGCTTTGAGTTTGTGTGCGTGTGCTTTTCTTTAAGGCTTCAACCATTGTGTGTGAAATGTCTGGATGGGAAAGAAGTAATCCATCTGGAGGCAGGTGGTTACCATTCTCTTGCACTTACTGCAAAATCCCAGGTAGGAGGCAAACTATTGAAAGCTTACCTAAATTTCATGGAAGACCTGAATAACAAGATTAAACAGTGTTTATTGAATATCTGCTGTGTGTCAGGCAACAATCCCATATTTCACTTGATCTTTCCAGTGTTTTTTTTATGTTGCATAGCCGTGTTTCCATTTTACAGGAAGGTTTAGAGAAATTATGTAACTTGTCTAAAGTCACACATGTGATAGTAGAGTTTGGATTAAACACTGGTCTGCCTGTCCAAGAATCTTTCTATAATGTGCTTTCATGTAAAAACAACTCAAAATTTTCCATAAGTAAGACACTAAAAAAAGAAAACAAAGGCATTTTTCTCTCTTAAAATTGCGGGACCTGGTTCTTCCAGGTAAGATGACTGCATAGGCAGACATGGCTTGTCTCTTTACACAACCGCATCAGAATTTCAGTTAAATTATAGAACAACCATCATGTCAGAAATCAAGTAGAACGGAAGTCTGACAACGAAGGACTTAAAGAAACCACATCCATCCACACTGGTAGGAGGGGCACAGATGTGGAATAGGCTGGTCCCGCACCCACGTGTGGTGAATAAAAATTCAGGAGGGATATTATGGGAGTGAGGAGTCCCAGCCCCACACAAGGCCCTGCAGCCCAGGGTTCTAGTGCTAGGAAGACAAGTCCCCACAACTTCTGACTGCAAAAACCAGTTGTGCTTGTGTCAGTAGAAGAAAACTGCTGGAACCCCAAGCAGTTTCTCTTAAAGAACCCACACACTGACACACCTCCCTAGACTCCCTCTAAGCTCCAGCATTGGGGTAGCAGCTTAAAGGGACCATTGGTATACAGAGAGAATCTGAAATAGCTGGTGTCAAAGTGACCAGAGGCCATTGCCCCTTTTCTAAACTCTCCCTGCCACAGAGCTGGTAAGCCGGTGCCATATCTGAGACTACATCAGCCTGGCTAACACTGTGTGACCTGCCTTGGAGATCCCTAGAGACTACCCCACCCAGCATAGGGGCCCATCTAAGTTGCTTTTCCATGTGAATGGCTCATGCTTCACAATTTTCTAAATCCTCTCCAACAAGCAACAGCTGGCTTCAGTGAATCCCAGGCCTGGCACTAGCAGCAGTCAACCTAGATTAACAGGTTGGCTTTACCTAGGAATCTCCAAGCCGACCCACCACAAGTAGCAGCCATCTCAGAGTGCTTTATAGTTCAGGCGGGGTGGCTCTGGGCAAAACACAGGTCGGGGCTGACCTTGGCCTGCACCTCCTGGGAAACCCCAGTGCCAGGGTACCCAGTGGACAGCTGCAGACCGTGTTGGATCACTACCACCCTGCCCCTGCACAGCTGATTCTCCATGGAAGTTGGAAATTAGTGGTCAGTGGTCACAGCCAGTCCTTGGAGCTAACTGGCCTAAGTAAGTCCCTCCACTGACCTGCCAACAGCAACCAAGGCTTAACTACAAGAGGAGGGTGTACTTAGCCCACATGAAGTGCATACCTCTAGTACTCAGCTTGGGTAATAGCAGAGGCTGTGCCACTGGTACCCTACAGGACACCTGCTACATCAGGCCACACTACCAAGACATGACGTCCAAGCAGCTCTACCTAATTCATAGAAACAGACACAGAGAGGCTGTCAAAATGAGACAGAAACATGGCCCAAATGAAGAACAGATCAAAACTCCTGAAAAAAAGCTAAACTAAATAGAGATAAGCAATCTATGAGATGTAGGGTTCAAAACACTGGTTATAAGGATGCTCGTGGAACTTAGTGAGGACCTCAGCAGCATAAAAAGGTCCAGTCAGAAAAAAAGGATACACTAACTGAAATTAAAAAAAATTTACAGGGATTACAGGAAGATTTACAGGGAATAAAAAAAAAAAGAGAGAAATTTACACAAATCTATCAAAAATTAAATCTGAAAAACAAACTAAGCAAATAAGAACAAAAGAGACAGAATCATGGATATGGAGAATGTTTTGATGGGTGCCAGATGGGAGGGGCATGGGGGATAATGGGTGGAGAGTGAGGATTAAGAAGTACAAATAGGTAGTTACAGAATAGCTACAGAGATGTAAAGTAAAGTGTAGGAAATGGAGTAGCCAAAGAACTTATATGTGTGACTCGTGGACAGGAACTGCCTGGTTGGGGAATAGCCTGAGGGAGTTGGGGGGCAGTATATTGGTTGGCGGTATATTGGTTGGGGAATAGCCTGAGGGGGACAAAGAGGGAAAAATCAGAGGACAACTTATAGCATAATCAATGAAATATGATTTTTAAAATAAATTGTGGAACCTGAAAGTGACCTCCAGAATCACTTAACACCAGGACTATATACATAAACCCTCCTTATAAAAGTAGTTGTTTTAAGTTACTCTTAAATATATACATATAATGATTCTTAATAATTTCCTTTATCTTTTTAGGAACAGTAACTGAAGGCTTCTAAATGCATTAAATATATTATTTTAAATTTCATATAGCAGGCTAGCCAAAAACTACTATAGCAGGCATAATAAATAACTATGAATATGAGAAAGGAAATGGATAATTTATTGTTATTAACATGACAAATCATCTAAAAGTCTTAAAAGTAAGAGATTAGAAATGTGGTTGGTTACAAAATAAACATAATTGCAAGCCTTCTTATATACACAAAGTAAAGCAGGAAACATGCCAAGGAAAAAAGCAGTTCACAATTACAGCAAAAGTATTAAGGAAATATGAATAGCCTTTGGAAATGTGTAGACCCTATATGACACAAACTCAAGAACTCTTCTAATAGGTCATAAAAGAAGATAGAAATAAAGGGAGAGAGGTTTTATTTTCAGATGAGAAGAGTTAGTGTTGCAAAATGCCACTTCTTCCTTGACCATTAAATCAATTCAGAGTAAATTCAGTACAATCCCCAAAATAGTCCGATATGATTTTACAACTTCATAAAATGACCCCAAAACTATTCTAGTAGAGTGAAGTTAAGCAATGAGCCACATAAATTCTGAAAGTGAATGGAAGGGATGGATTAGAATTAGCCATATAAATATATTGTGAAAGTACAAAAAGATAGTAGAACAGAAAATATTCCTATAGACTAGAAATAGACCAAGTATATGGGATGAAAATGGGTATTTCAAATCAGTCGGAGAAACAAAACTAAGTGTTCAATAAGTGCTGTTGGAACTACTGGCATCTTATTTGCAGGATAAAATTAAGATAGCTTTACATATTCTACTTCTGGATGAATTAAAGATGTATATGTTTACAAAATAGACCCTTACATGTGAAAGAACAAATTAGTAAGAAATAACCTTAGGAGTAGAAGAAGACATGACATCAAAATTAGAAATTAGCAGGTAGAGATGATATGTTTGTCTACTTAATGAACAATCCTAAACAGAAAAAAAACCCAACCCACAAACAAAATTAAGATACATAACAAACTGGGAAAAAAACATTTGTAACATACATGACAAAATGTTACCTGTTACATAAAAATTGTCATAGAATATTTGTATTCCATTCATGAAAGAAGAAATAGAAATGGCCAGCAGTGAGTGAAAAGGTAGTTAACTACTTAGTCAACAAATGGAAATTGAAATAAGAGTAACATCTATTTCTCCCTATCACATTAGCAAGAATTGCATTTAATGCTAAGTGTTAGTGAAGATGTGGAAAAACGGTACATACATTGCTGGTGAGAATGTGCATTGGAATTTGCTGGAAGGCAATTCGTCAGTATATATCATAAATCAGAAATCATATTTATTGACCCAGAGTTCTTTGCCTAGGAATTTATCCTAAGGAAATAGATACACGTATATGTATATTCAAAAATTTTAATATAACTTTATATTAACAATTTGAAATAAATGATTAATGTATATACTTACTGAGTAATTGAGTAAACTATGCTCATAGTAAGGCTCTATGTAGTAATAAGTGATGTTGTAGTAATAAGTTGATGTCTATGCTTATTGACATAGAAAAAATGTCAAAGCATAGCATTAAGTAAAAAATACCAGGTCACAAAACAGCATTAATAATATAGTTCCATTTTACACTTTGTATGTACATTTTATATAGTAGGCATTAAGATTTCTGGAAGCATGTTTGTGTGTTCCCAAAACAAAATAGTAGTTGTTTATAAGTAGTGAAATCACCAGTGGTTTTCACTTTTTAAAAATTTCTTTATACTGTCACATTCTTGCACAGTGACCATGAGTTACTTTTATAATCAGGAGAAACAAAACTATTTTTATTTTACACATTCCCACTAATATAGTTTTTCATTTTGTTTTGTTTTGGTCTATAGTGGAGCATCAGTACTTGTGTTTCTCCTTCAGTGACTCTTATATGAAAAGGCTTTCTAGTCATTCCATGGTGCTTCTATATACAGAGCAAAAATCATGATTACTTTTTTGGGGGGCAGCACTTAGCTATATTTTTTTATTACTTTCTTTATAAGCGACAGTATAAAATAATTTCCTGGGATTTAATCCTGGCTCTGCTACTTACAAATTATAGTTTCCTATCAGGGCCAGTTTCCTTATCTGTAAAAAAAAGAATTATGAGAACAAAACATTAATTAACACACAGAAAGTATTAAGAACAATGCCTAGCAGATAGTCAACACTTGAAAAAGTTATTGTTAACCCTTGGACTCTGTCTTCCTCTGTACTCTATCTACCCATTATCTATGGTTTTGTTTAAAGTAAATTTCTTAATATCTGTTATTTTAAAGAGTAGAAAGACTAGTATAAATTACTAGTATAAGTAATTTGTGAAAAGACTTGTATAAGTAATTGATGTGTAACTATTGGTATATATATATGTATGTATATAGGTGTGTATGTTGTTATAAAGGTTCAGAATTGACATGCAAAGTCAAATTCACAACCCTTACCTACTTTCTTGTGGTTTTCTAACAGGTTTACTCATGGGGTAGCAATACCTTTGGTCAACTTGGGCATTCCGATTTTCCAACAACAGTCCCTCGTCTTGCAAAGGTACTTTTCTTTATATCTCTTAATGTCATGTTTTAAGACAAGATAGGAAATTTGTAACCTAAATGTGTTTTGATATACTTAATTTAAAAAATATATATGAAACCACTTGTTTTCAAGCCAAATGTTATATTTTTGATGTATTATATTTATGTTTACTGATGTATTATATTTCTTCTTAGCTTCTACTGTTCATTGAACATTTATAGTTTTCTTTGTCCTTTTATAAAAGTAAAAATGATAAAGTTCTTTCTTTTAAAACAAGTGTTTCTAGGACTATTATGTAGACCTCTGAACTTTATACTAGCAAATGCCTATTCTTTGACTTCTCACTCAGTTTTGGCTTTTACATAACCTTATTTGGTGGTGTTATGTCTTGTTTTGGTTTCTTTTGTATACATAGTCATGGTAGTAAAACCTTTTTGGAACCTTCTTGTTTTCTGTAGTGAAACAAAGTATAGATGATTTCTTTACTGCTTGCTGTGTGAATTGGTTTTAGTTTATGTAATGCTCTTCAGACATTGGTCATTTCTAGTCTCTTTGATGCAATTCTAGAAGAATGTTTCTCAACCTTTTTTTCCCCCCGACACCCTGAAGAAATACTAAATCCTCATCAATAGTATTGACTCCTTACACAAGATTTGTTTGGGTTTGTTTGCGGTGTGGGGTAGTGAGTGGGGAGTGTGCATGGTGGTAGCCTAACAGAGTAAAATGTGGAGCTCATCGTGTATTTGTCATTTGATTCTAGTATCTCTCACACTGCGAGACATGCTCCCTCTACTCAAAGTAACAGAGACTAAAAAAGGGTAGTTAGTTTCAATCCAGTGCCTCATGTTACTACATAGCCATGTATTCACCCATGTATTCAGTGTGCACTTGCATGCACCACTGTATAAGAGTTTTACATGCTGCCTTTTCTTCCAGCAGACTTAGTTTTCCTGGGAAGGAAATATTTAAATAGAACATCAGGGAACAGTTATTACTTCTAGCTCCAATCTTAAATATTTTCATTATAAAACATTGTGGTGGTAAGCTATTTAATTTCTGCTATTTTATCACAAATAAAGATATGATAAATCATTGTTCCTCGATTTTTGTTCTTTGAATAAATTACAACATGCATTTGTTCATACTTAGGAAGGTTTTATAATGTAGCATGGAGACCCTGGAAATAAGTTTTTTATTTAACATTTTAGAGTCAGGCAAGAAAGAATAGAGTTTGTTAATGGGTTGGCCACAAAGTCCATATGTTTTTTCTGGGAGAAAAAAGACACATTTTTCATTTTCACCAATAACTTTATTGATTTGGATATTTCAGTATGTTGGCTATCCTCCCATGTGGTATAACATTGATTGTTTTCAGTTGATGTCTCTATTTGATTGCTATCAACTTCAGCTGGTCTTCCTGACTGTGAAACATTGTCCAGAGAGAAATCTCCAGCCCAAAACTTTGCAAACCACTTTTAACACGTTTGATGAGGCGGCTCCTTCTCTATACACTGCACGAATCTTTTTTTTTTTGCGTTTCAGTTGTGTTTTTACCTTTCTTGAAATAATAAAGTTGAAAATGTTGCATATTTTTTCATCTTCAACATTAAAACAGCTACACAAAAGTTTACCAGTTTTTTTACTTTTTTTAAAATGCACACTGAGCCTTGGCTGGTGTAGCTCAGTGGATTGAGCGTGGGCCTGCGAACAAAAGGATTGCAGTTTGATTCCCAGTCAGGGCACATGCCTGGATTGCAGACCAGTTCCCAGCAGGGGACACATGAGAGGCAACCATACATTGACATTTCTCTCCCTCTCTCTTTCCCTTCACCTCCCCTTCCCCTCTAAAGATAAATAAATAAAATCTTTTAAAAATGCATGCTGATATGACAGCTGTCACAATACAATCTAACAAAATTGTTTGGAGTGAAATTAAAGACAACTAAGCACTACTAGAGCCATTTTAGGGAAAAAAACAAATGAACTTTTTGGACAACCCAATACAAGGTTTTAGTTTCATTACTCTTTAAATGTACATACAAAGATAGAGCATTAGGAGTTGGCTTTTTTTTTTTTAAATTTGAGGGAAGGATGAGAAAAACTTGAAGTCATTTTAATTAAAGTCAAGGTAGAGTGAGATCTGAATTAGTTTTGATTAGAGACTAAGAAGACTCTTCTCTGGAGAAAAAAATCATTCTTTGCAAAAATAACAGTAAGTCCAGTAAGTCATTTATCAGGAGAGCTGAATTTGAGAGGATAATGTCATGTGGGAGAGGATAGCTATAAAGTAGTTGAGATGTGCGCACACATTCACTCACTCGTTCACGCAGTCACCTCACGTAGTATTTGGAACCTAGCCGGAACAAAGAAGGTAAGAGAAGCTTTTATTTTGCTTATCAGTCTAGCAGCCTCGGAGACATGGCTGAAGTTGGATCTGGATGTTGGGGGCAGTAGTTTTCATAGCAGAACACTTTCCTCAAATGAAATCTTATGTGGAATTCCATACATAAAACAGATACACGTAGAACTACTTTCGTTGACAAGTGGAGAGGGGAGCAGATCCCTGGCACCTGCCTTTCCATGGTGGCTCCTGAATCACTGTGTGGAATCCTAAGGTTTGAAAACTATTAGTTTAAGGCATACTTTGCCACACATCAGAATCACCTGGAAAGCCTGTTAAACGGAGTGCCAGGTCCCAACCCCCAGAAGCTCTGTGGCTGCAGAGTTTCTAACATATTTCTAACATATTTCTAGGTATTTGTTGCTGCTGCTGCTGCAAAGATACTTGTTGTGAACCACACTGGTCTAGGGGATCCATGCAAATAAAATTGTAAGGGGTCCTGTCTGTTTCAGGATCCTGGGAGTTGGCACAGTGAAGTTACATTAGAGAGGTAGTGAGTTCCAAGTGGGAAAACTGAATTTTAGCATTCAGTTGGCCAGAATGGAATTTAGCCTTGTTAGATTTTTTTTTTTTAACCTTGAGTTTTGTGCACACAGCCAAATGAGAACATAGAAAGGTGTGTGCTAGCTATCAGAATAGGGCTTTAGAAGTTTCTAGTCTTCTTGATTGTAGTATAGACCAAGTCCTATGGGGACTTAAAAAAATCAGATCTGTGTTTTTTTCTTTTTTAATTCCAATTATTTAGATTTTTATAAAAACAATCCAGTTCTAAATTTAAAACTGAACAAAGGATTTCTTCTTACCCCTGTGTCTGTTCTGCATTTGATTAGGTACATTGCCTGATAAATTTTGCCCTCTGAGATATGCTTGATTTTGCACCACACTTGTTTAAGTAACCTAATATTTTAGTTCCTGTGGATCTGAAGTTCTTGTCTGATTCCTTCATCTTGGACAGACAATATCTTGCTGTCGTTGCAGGTAAACGGTAAAAATGGAGTCTGGAGTGTAGCTGCAGGCCAGGATTATTCCCTGTTTTTGGTGGATACGGAAGACTTCCAGCCTGGGTTATATTACAGTGGCCGACAGGACCCTGCAGGAGGTGACAACCTTCCTGAGAATCACAGTGGTACTAAGACTCCAGTACTTCTCTCCTGTAGTAAGGTGAACAGGAATTAGATCCTAAGGCCCACCACATTCTATAGCACACGAGAAGTATTTTGGTTTTGTTATTTGTATGTATACCTATTATTAAGTATCTCTGACTGCTGTGTTGAAAATTGCAAGCCCCGCCCTGGCCAGGTGGCTCAGTTGGTTGGAGCATCATCCCGTGCACTAAGAGGTTGCAGGTTCGGTTCTCGGTCAGGACACTGTGGAAGGCATCTGATTGATATTTCTCTCTGCCATTGATGTTCTTCTCCCCCATCCCTCTCTAAAATCAATAAACATATCTTTTACTGAGGATGTAAAAGAAAAAGTTGCACGCCCTGTCCTTCATCTCTTAAATTCTTTTTCTGACTTATTTCACTCCATGCTGCCTGTCACCATCTAATACACTATATAATTTACTTACTCCGTCTGTTGTTTGTCCTTAACTGTAAGATTCATAAGAGTAGGGCTTTTAGGATTTCTTATTGACTTCGTATCCTTGTAGTAAATACTTTATAAAAGCTTGTTGAATTAACACCCTCGTGTAGGACTATTAAAAAGTACATTTCACGGTGATGTTTCCTGACTACATTTGTGGATCTCTCAGAGATGAATGTGAATGTAAAGAGATAGATGAACTTTTGACTGTAAGTGGGAAGTCAGAGTTTCAGGAGCCTGACAGGCCACCAACAGTGCTCTGTCTTCACCTCTTCCCTGTTTCTCTTAGCTTTCATTTTATGTACTGCTGTGTATCCCTTTTTCGTTTGTTGATCTGAATTTCTTTGCTATACTACTTTCTAACTCTCATAAACTGAATTCACTGACCTGTTTCTGTGTCATCCCCTCCCCCCTCCCCCCCCCACTAAGGTAACTCACCTCCTTAAAGTGATATGCCTCCAGGAAATTAACCTTCAAAGCTAGTACATTCTGGATTTCTTATTCTTACTGAATAATATATCCTATGGACTTTTTTCTTACCCCCTTTTTTTTTTGACTAAATATGTAAGCTATGAATGTACAGAGACAAGATCTTTCTTACTAAAGGCGATGCTGGCCAAGATTTAGCTCTTAACCTATATATATATATATCCTGTTATTCCAGACATACTAATTGACTCTTTGTAGTTGTTGGCCCTGGCTCCACATTCCCCATCCAAGATGCCACAGTCCAGATAAAGGATGAAATATCCTGATGAAAGGGATGAGGCTGTAATGTGCCTTTAGTTACAATGGAATTTTAATAGACTGTTGGGTCTGCAGCTTGGTTGCCTAGTTTAATAGTGTTATGTGATGAAGACATTGAATGCTTTTATTTAGTGTTGTCATAGATAAATGAAAAAAGTATCTTTTAAAGAAAATCCCTGTATGTTGTAAAGTATTTTTAAGAAACAAGGTAACTCCCAGACCTTTGATATTTTGATCCAAAGCAGATTATTCTCTGCTCTTATTTATCCTATTTTATGCAAAAAGTAGTCCTGAAACATGTATCCACATCATTTGGATTTTTGTCTGTTTAGGATATATGTCTCTGGTTCCAAACGCATGTAATATAAATTAAAAAGGTATTTTGGCGATAAATAAAAGTATTGTACATGTAGTTATATATAGATCTAGATATATATATATAACAGTGGTGTACTGGTATGCCATCTCTAAAATTCAAATCAAAACAAGACCAAAAAGCAGTGATCTATAGTGTTTTCCATTGGGGTGGAGGGTAATTTTATTATTGCCAATTTCAAGCTACCAGTGGTTTCGTTATCAACTTGCAAAATTCCTGAATATTTACCAGTTGGCTCTTGCCAGGTGATATAAGCCACCGCCGATGCCCAAATGGCTACTAGTAAGTTATATTTTGTCTTTAATCTTTTTTTGTCCTCTGTTTTAGCTTGGATATATAAGTAGAGTGACAGCAGGAAAAGACAGCTATCTGGCCTTGGTGGACAAGAACATTATGGGATATATTGCCAGTCTCCACGAATTGGCTACTACAGAAAGACGGTTTTATTCAAAACTTAGTGATATCAAATCTCAGATTCTCAGGCCTCTTCTCAGTTTAGGTAAGTGGAGCACTCTTATCTGTTCTTCCTACATCACAATAAAACCTTTGAGTTATGGTTTATCCCCTTCTTTCCATTCTCTTCTTTCTGTACACAGGCAGTCAACACCTTGAAAACTATTCTTACTTTTCCAGTAGCCTAGCTACCACTGCCCTGGCGTACCACTGCCACAGCTCCTTTTACTTGTGGAAGTAGAAAGTGGAGCCTTCCAAATACCAGAGAAGCAGGAACAGCTTTTTGGGAAAGTAGATCCTGGGCGCTTAGACTTCTAAACAACATTTCTAGCCCCACCAGTCCTAAGATATCTTACATTATTCTACCCGAATTTTTCACTTTCTTTGTTTTAGCTCTTATGTCAAATAGAGATTCATTTGGATTTACGTGTAGTCTCTTGAAATTGTTGATAACTGTAACAGTGTTAAGGGTCTTACCCCACGTTAGTGTGAATTGAGTAAATCTGATTCCTTTTCTTAGCAGTAATCCGCTACAAAGAGGATTGAAGGCGGGAGATATTACAGAGGAAAAGGACTATGATGGTCCTGGAAAGTGTGCTACTGTCCAGATACGCTAGGTACCTGAGGCCTACAGGAAGTTAGAAAAGAATACCAAGTGGAGATTGGAGGAGGAAGCTATTAAAAATAAACTTGCCTGCCTTTAAAATTTTTTCTAGGTTTGGCCCTGCACTCAGCAAATGGAGAGAAAGTTTTCTTTCTCTTTCTTTCCCCTGTACTCTTCGGCCCCCTCTGAGGACCCAGAATTCAGGCCAATACTCTAGTAATTAAATGCTACCTTGTTAGTACATCACCTTTTCCACATTAAGGTGATGTCGGCTTTTATGGACAAGCTCATCGTTTTTAGTGGGAAAACATCTACTTTTTAAATAGCTAACTTAATGTTTCCTTTTTAAGTTGGAAAGTATCTGCATTTTTTAAAAAATGTATTTTGCTTATTTAAATGTCGTAGAGGCTCCTGCTCTGTAAATCCCCTCCAGTGGGTGGACCCAATATCCCAGGATTTGGGTAAAGAAAAGGAAGTAATCCAAGCCGCAGACTTCCTGCATTGCCTTGAAAGGAAAGTGCGGTCTGCCTTTTCTCTGTCCTGTGTTCTGATTTCTATGTTGGTCTTACCTGGTCCGTCCATCAGCCTCACTGCTTGATGAGAAGTCCTAGAAATGAGGAATTTTGGATTGGGAAAAGGCAAATAATCTCCTGTTGCCCTCTCTGTACTGAATTGTTGGGCTTGTCCAAGGGACAAGTTGAAAAGAAGTCAGTACAAAAAGTTGAAAATGTTAGCAAAGATATAACTACTTTGAGTAGTTATGAGTTTAATTCTTGGCTGTCACTAATTGTTGCATGAAATTAGACAATCCCCTTCTTGTGGCTTCAGATTACTTCAAAATGAGAGGAGAGTTGGATTAGCTCAGTGGTCTTTAAATTTGGCTGGTCTTCCGAATTACTTGGAAAACTTTTCTTTTTAACATACCCATCCTGGGGTCTTAACCCTGGCCTACTGAGTCAGAACCCATGGGATCACTGTGAATGTGTTTTTAACAAGTTCCTCAAATGACTGGATTCTGTGATCTCTTAAGTTGCCTTCTTTAATACTGTGATTATTTGGGTTCATATATCTCAACATGTTAAGTATTTTTCAAAAAGGGGAATTCATAGTCTTGATCATACAGAAGTATTCAGGTAATGAATCTTTAGGTTATGTTATCATCATCATCATCATTTTGTTACAGAAAATTTGGGCACTGCAAGTACTGTCCAGCTGTTGCAGGAGGTGGCAAGCCGATTCAGTAAGCTATGTTACCTAATTGGTCAGCATGGAGCCTCACTGAGCAGCTTCCTTCATGGGATAAAGGAAGCCAGGAGCTTGGTCATTCTGAAGCATGCAAGTCTCTTCTTGGATAGTTACACAGAGCAAGTATCCAGTCCCGTGTCATGTTCAGTCTCTGCAGGGTTCTTCTGCCTAGGAGAACAGCTCCTTAATCAGAAGAGACTAGATTAGGGAGAGTGATATAAGGTAATAGAAATTGCAAAGCAGTATTTTAATCTTAAACCAACTATAGTTCTGCATTGCTAAAATTTTAGTTTTCTCTAAGGGGAAAAAGGGTTTTAAAATCTCATATTTCCTTCTATATTCTAGCAGAATGATTGATAGTATACTTTACATAAAATGTAGTATAATAAATATGAATATGTAAAAATTACCTTTACAGAACAAATTTGTTAAGTAAATTATACTAAAATTTGAGGAAATAAGTAACTAAAATTATTTTAAGATTATTGATTGTAAATACGGAGTTGTTCCAATGTCTGGTTTTACTGTTGTGCAAATGGAAGGTTTAAAGACCAAACTGTCTTTAAAATAAAGATATTTCCTTAATAAAACTGAGGATAGTTAAGGTTCTTTTCATGTTTTTCAAGTAAAATATCCCAAATGTATATGAAAATTTAAATATTTCTCCCTTCTTAATTTGAATTTTGACATTATGATGTAGGACATAATTTAAATGTTATTTTAACGTATATTAATTTTTACTGTTGATCTGAAGTATAGGTTTTCTTCTTTGACTGAATACCCTCTAAGGGCCAGGCTCTATGTGAGGCTCCAAGACCACAGCAGCCACAGCTCAGAGGCAATAAAAAGCACCAGCCTCAAGTTCATGTTCTGTTGGTGTTCTGTTTAGGTTATTTATAGTATAGGTAATGTAGGTTTACTATAGAAAACTACGCAAATAAAGATAATCAAAAGATTGTGTCACCCATAACGTTCCATCAGAAATAACCATTGTTAATCATCTTAATGTATTTTTTTAATTTCATATATATGTACAAATAGATGTATGTGATTTTAATTCTAAGGAAAGTTTAATATACTTGAAGCTGTTGTCTGAAAGGAAAAGCCCTGATTGGAGTCTTTTAACTCCTCATCTTTCAGACATAAAAATAATATAATTTGATACTAATTTACTTTTTAAGCTAAATTTTGTTTATGTGAAGGCTTTGGTTTTATTCATATAATTTTTCTTTTTTGACTTATATTCATTGCAGTCTGTTCTTTTTTCTTCTGTTATACTTCAAAATTTATGCTCGAAATGCTTTTCATTTTGATGTCATGGGCTATTTTTAACATAAATTATTCATATAAATGGAGTAAGAAAATTTTATTTGTAAATTAAAAAAATTATTTTTAATTGTGGTAAAATACATGTAACGGAATTTACCATTGCAACTATTTTTAACTGTCTATTACTTTGGGCTGTTTTTGATCCTGCCTTTTCTTTCAAAGGCAGTTGATTCCATTTGCCAGCCCAGGAGTATAGAAAAAATGTACATGGTTCAAAGCATTATGTGAAGACTTAATCTCTAGCAGTAGATCAGTACTTTAACCAACATTTTCTAATGCTGTTTCATTCAGGCTTTTAAAACATATTTTCTTACTGTTTCATCTTTGTTCTTTATTTCTGAAGACTTAATTGGAAAACCTAAAGTGAAGATTAGAAAAGTTTTTCATTAAAAATCCAACAATTTTAATCTTACTTTCTCAAATTTAAGTCACCAAGTAAAATCTACCCGATAAATTCTAGTAACTTCTGCATAACTTTAAGTCTTTTTAAACTTCCTATTATGTTAACATCTTTACTAAAATGGTTTATTTCCTCCCCTGATTATTGTGATTATTGCATGACCTGCCTTTCTCTTCAGTCCTTTATAGTTAGTCAGTGTTGATTTCACAAAAGTGTTGAAACTCATTGGTGAGATACCAAGAAGTATTCGTTCTGGATGCTTGTTCAAAAACTTCAAAGAACTAATATACATTTTAACACTAATGTACATGTGTTTTCTTTTTTGCTGAAGGTATTGTACATCTATTACAAATTTCCTGGTTATGGGAGGATTCCAACTTCTTGCTAAGCCTGCCATGTAAGCATTCTGTTATCCTTCTGTCAACCAAAGGTCATGTTTTAAAGTGTTTTGTGTTTTTGAGTGCCCGTGAATAGCTTTTACTTGATTATTTTACCAAATGAATCAAAATGTAGACTTTTACTAACTCTTATAAAGTATAGGTATTAGTAGCCTCTGATTAATATTGGAAGTAGTATGCTATTGAAAAAGCCACAAGATCTGAGTCTTTCTTTATTGCTACCACATACTACTTCTGGCAGCTCTCTTCACCAAATTGAACTTAACGTTTTCCTCTGAAAAATGAGAATGTGTGTGTGATGCTACATAGAAAAGTGTATAGTGTTGCACAAGTATAATGTTTTTTCATTCAGCTCCTAGAAAAGTAATAAATATCAAGGCCCCTTACATAAGGCCAATCATTCTAAACCGTGCAGTTTCTCAGCAAGTGTTGACATACAACAAAGGCAGGTTAAAAAAATCAGCCAAGTGTTTATGTTAACAGAAAACATTTCAAGTATGCACTCATGACCTGGATTTAATAGATGTTAGTGTCTGCCATGTTTACTTTTGATCTTCTAAAGGGAACACTTAATATTTCACCATTAAATATGATTGCCTTAGATTTTTTGATAAACATCATTTGTAGAGTTTAAAAGCTCTCTTCTATTCCTAAAAGTTGAATAGGATTGATTTTTTAAATATTAAAAGTAAATTCATTGGTCTTTATGTTTTTTACATGTTGCTGGATTTAATTTACTAATATTTCATATTTTTGCATCTTAAATGAATATGAGATGTTCTTTCTTTCACCCAATTTTGGTGAAGGGATTGCACTAGCAATTATAAAATGAGTTGCAGAGCTTTCTCTCTTTTTCTGTTTTCTGGAATAGTTTGCATGAGATTGCAATTATCTGTATTTGGAAGATTTGGTAGAATTCGTCTGTAAAAATGTGTGGCCTTCATGGGGTGTTTCCTGTAGGAAGTTTTTAAACTACTGATTTGGTTTCCTTTTTTTTAAAAGATTTATTTATTTATTTTTAGAGAGAGGGGAAGGGAGGGAGCCAGAGAGGGAGAGAAACATCTGTTGGTTGCCCTGACTGAGGACCAAACTCTCAACCCAGGCATGCGCCCTGTCTAGGAATTGAATAGACAGCCTTTCACTTTGTGGAATGATGCCCAACTAACTGAGCCACACCGGTCAGGGCCTGATTTGGTTTCTTTAATGAATAGATATGTTCAGGTCTTTATTTCTTCTTATGGCTTTAATTATTTTATTTCAATTTTACTGGAAAATTGATTATTGCACCTTTGTTTTCAAATTTATTAGCATATTATTCCTATGATTGTCTTAAGATATTTTCACCTCCATAGTAACTGTAGCTGTGCCCCTTATTTTTATTCATAATATTTATTTGAACCTTTTATCTTTTTATCCTGGTCAGTCTTTTCAGAAGTTTATCCCTTCTCATTATTCTTTTCAAAAATTGTGCTTTAGTTAATACTTTCTTTGTTTTATACTTCATTAACTTCTGCTTTTTATCTCCTTCTGCTTTCTTTGTGTTCACCTTCTAACTTCTTGAGTTAGCACTTAGTTTGGTAATTTTTCAATCTTTTTAATATTTCTAATGTGTTTAACAGATTTTATTTATTTACTTGTAGAGAGAGGGAAAGGGAGGAAGAAAGAAAGAGAGAGAAACATCATACTGACCAGTTGCTTCTTACATGCTCCTAACCAGAGACCTGGCCTGCAACCCAGGCATGTGTCCCAACCAGGGAATCGAACTGGTGACCTTTTGCAGGATGATGCCCAACCCATTGAGCCACACCAGTCAGGGCTCTAAGTACTTATATAAGGTTATAAATTTTCCTCTAAGTGTTGCTTTAGCTTTATTTTTAAAGTTTTGATAGATTTCAGTAATAATTTTTTTAAAATTGCCATCATGATTTCTTCTTCACTTCCTATCATGTGCTCATTTATTTGTAAAATATAGGGATTTGGCCTTCATTTTTTAATGACAGGTTAAGAGTGTTATATTTTAACCTTATGTAGTAATTTTTAAATCCTTGCTCTTACTATTTTGTAAATATTAATATGATGACACCATCTCTACTCTTTTACTTTCAGCCTTTCTACATTGTATTATGATATTTTTGTATATTTCTTGTAAGCAACAGATGGATAGACTTATTACTTTGGTATTTTTTCAGTTGTCTATATATTATAATGATTAAAAGTGTAGGTGGAGGACTTCCGCCAAGATGGAGGCATAGGTGGAGACGCCGTGCTTTCTCACACAACCAAGTTTAGAGACAACTAAATATGAGCAATACAAAACACAGCCAGAACACAGAAAATTGAACTTTTCAGAAGTCTGATAACAATAAATTCTTCTGCCTGACTGGTAAGAGGGGTGAAACCAGCAGCTGGTGGAGCAAGGTTGCACAGGAAAACTCGGTCAAACGGTCTCAGGCACACGGAATCCAGGCACAGGGGTGGACCTAATGAGCGACCGAGTGAGCCACCTCGGGGAAACAGCGAGGGAGCAGGGCTGCTAGTTGACTGTGGTCGCGCATTCGTGCGCAGATAGACAACTGAGGGAGTGGGAGATTGCACGCGACCCAGCAGGCCCCACTGGCGAGCGGCAACGGAGGGTGCTGCCATTTCCCCACTCTGACCCCGCCTCCACATACACAGCATCATAACCCAGCAACCTGAGTGGCCCTGCCCTTGGGAACCACCTAAGGCTCTGCTCCTCACCCAGCAGCGCAAAATAGCAGAGGGGGTCGCCATTTCCCCACTCTGACCACACCCCCATATATAGCGTCACAACCCAGCGACCTGGGAGTCCAAGGCTCTGCTCCTCAAACTTAATGGGCGCAAACAGACCAAAAATGGCTCAGGACGATCTCAGAGCCCCAGAGCCTATAAATCTAAGCAATGAAGAAATAACAAAATTCTCAGACGCACAGTTTAAAACACTGGCAATCAGGATCCTCACAGAACTGGTTGATTATAGCCACAAATTAGACAAACATATGAAGGCGAAACTAATTGAAATGAATGGAATTGCACAGGAAACCAATAGCGATGAAAAGGAAACTGGGACTCAAATCAATGGAGTGGACCAGAAGAAAGCAAATAATGGCCAAACAGAAAAGAGTGAAGAAGCAAGAATTCAAAAAAATGAGAGTCTTAGGAACCTCCAGGACATCTTTAAAACGCTCCAACATCCAAATTATAGGGGTACCAGAAGGGGGAAAGGCACAGCCACAAGTGGAAAACTTATTTGAACAAATAATAAAAGAGAATTTCCCCAATCTGGCAAAGGAAATAGACTTCCAGGAAATCCAGGAAGCTCAGAGAGTCCCAAAGAAGTTGGACCCAAGAAGAAACACACCAAGGCACACCATAATTATATTAGCCAAGATTAAAATGAAGGAGAGAATCCTAGAAGCAGCAAGAAATAAGGGGACAGTTACCTACAAAGGAGTCCCCATCAGACTGTCAGCTGATTTCTCAAAAGAGACCTTGCAGGCAAGAAGGGCCTGGAAAGAGGTATTCCAAGTCATGAAATCCAAAGACCTATATCCAAGATTGCTCTATCCAGCAAAACTTTCATTTAGAATGGAAGGACAGATAAAGTGCTTCTCAGATAAGATCAAATTCAAGGAGTTCATCATCACCAAGCCCTTATTATATGAAATGTTAAAGGGACTTATCTAAGAAAAAGAAGATAAAAAAGATGAACAGTGAAAGAACAGCAAACTCACAGTTATTAACAACCACACCTTAAAACAAAAGTAAACTAAGAGGACAGCTAGATCAGGAGTGAACCATAGAAATGAAGATCACATGGAGGGTTAGCATTAGGGGAGTGGGAGGAGGAGAAGGGGGGAGAAGGTACAGAAAATAAGTAGCATAGACAGTAGATAGAAAATGAGGGGGGCAAGAATAGTATGGGAAATATAGAATCTAAAGAACTTGAGACCATGGTCATAAACTAAAGGGGGGGTAATGGTGGGGACGGAGGGGTAGGGTGCAGGGGAATGAAGGGGGGAATAGAACAACTATAATGGCATAATCAATAAAAAAAGTGTAGGTAGAATGCTGAATCTTGAAGAAATAGGAGAAAATGACTGCCAAAGCAATAATTAAATGAAGCAGAAAGAAATTGAATAGTTATTTTACAAATAGTAATTCCTGGAGAAAAGCAAGTTTAATTACAAGAGAATGCAAAATTGGTGGATACTTGTGGCAATTTAAATGGTGAAGCTTCTGGGCTTAAAGGACTGGCAGTTGCTGACCCTGGTGCCTTATTTTACTTTATTGTTAACCTTCCTCTGGTGTTTCAGAGTTAAGTTCATAGTTCTGTACTTAAGAGTTGACCTGACTTCTTAAGTGAGAGCAGTTCAATCAGGTGATATAAATGAAAGGTGCTGGCTAAAGCCTGGGCAGAGGGAGAGCAGTGAATGGATGCTGGCTGACTCTGGGCCTTGGCAGCGGATGTTGAATCTGGATTTGGGCAGCATTTCCCAAGCAGTGGTTTATGAACCCCAGGGTTTTACATAGCTAAAGGCAGTAATGATGTGTTTTTTCAACATCTACTTATGAAGTCAATATTTAAAATTATTTTAAAGTATTTATTTGAAAAGAGCACAGTGTGAGAGCCTCTAGAGCACAGCGGGTGCGCCCAGGTGGCAGCTGTGGATCTTGGATAATAAGGCTCAAGCTCTGATCACTTAGCCGGTTTATCACTTAGCTGCTTGCTTCAAGCTAGCCCAGTGGTTTGGTCATTCTCCAGGGTTAATAATAATAGTATTATTAGTGTTGTAAAATATGCATAACATGGTACTTACCATTTTACCTTTCCTAAGTGCACATTTCTGTGCCATCAAGTATATTCACATGGTGTTATGAACCATCACCATTACCTATAAACAAAACTTTTTTTAGCATCCCCAACAAAAACTTTGTACCCATTAAACAATAACTTACCTTTCCTCTCTCTACACAGCCCTTAATAACCAATATTCTGTTTCCTGTCTATGAATTTGCCTATTCTATAAGTGAAATCATACATTTGTCCTTTTGTGTATGACTTATTTCCCTAAGCATAAGGCTTTTGAGGTTATCTATATTGTTGAAAACACCAAAATTTTATTCCATTATATGGCTGAATAATATTTTGTTGTATATACACAACGTATTTTGTTTATCCATTCATCTTTTTTTTTTCTTTAGCAGTGTGTGATTGCCTCTCATGCGTTCCCTACTGGGGACCTGGCCTGCAACCCAGGCATGTGCCCTGACGGGGAATCGAACCAGCGACCCTTTGCTTCACAGGCCCATGCTCAATCCACTGAGCTACACCAGCCAGGGCTCCATTCATCTTTTGATGGACACTTGGAAAGCAGTATTGCCCCGTTCGATCAAAAACTCCCAAGAGAAGAAAGAGAAGCTAAGCAGAGGATCTGGTTCAGATTTCCTTAGAGCCTATTAGGGCCCCTGTTGGGAAAGACTGTAGGCAAGGAAATGAGTGAGTCCTGAGAAGTAATAGGGTTCCCAAGAGTTGGAACATTTCTGAATAGTACAGGGCATTTGGGAGAAATGTGGGCAGGGGGTGTGTGCACCATGTAGAACCCCCTCCTCTCGGGAGCAGGTGAGAGCAGAACACTTCTGAGAGGCACAAGCGAGTGTCCTCGGACGAGCTCAGCCACAGAACATGGAGGTGGAAGTAGGAACATTCTCACAAGCCACGTATGAATAAAAATCTGGGCCATGTGCTCCAGAGCACTCCCTTAGATCTCTTAATTGCATTATAAAAGAATCCAATTTGTGCCATTAAACTTTTGGGTTCTTGGAAGTTATTACACATTTTTCCATCCTTCTGCAATAGTATGTCATAATTTCCGAGTTAAACATATCTTTATTTCATAGTTCTTTAAGGGATTATATCTTCAGGTAGGATAATCATAGTTCTTTAAGGGATTATAAAATGATTCATTCTTGCCTTATAGTCTTCTTGTGTGACATTGTCTTATTTGAGGCCTTGTAGCTAAGAATTATAGTATAAGTCTTGTAAAGCACTCAGGGCCTGGCACGCAATTATTGCTCATTAAGTGGCAGATACTTAATATTCTGTCACACTGATTCTTGCTTTTTTATAAAAGTATTTTGGTCTAGTGAGTATAGTCTCAGTGGGCGATGATCAGCATTAAAATCCGCAGTAAAATTTTAATGAAGGACTTAGGTATAAAATTGAATATAAAACTAAATGCTGGCCTGGCTGGTGTGGCTCAGTGGATTGAGCGCCGGCCTGCGAACTGAATGAATGGTCACTGGTTTGATTCCCAATCAGGGCACATGCCTGGGTTGTGGGCCAGGTCCCCAACTGGGGGCGTACAAGAGGCAACAGATCAATGTCTCTCTTGTACATTAATGTTTCTCTCCCTCTTTCTCCTCTCTTCCCCCTCTCTAAAAATAAATAAAATCTTATTTAAAGAAAACCTAAATGCTGGCTTCAGCTTTAAAGTGCTTTTGAAGAGCGCAGCATTGAAATCTTTGCATATCATTTGCTTTATTATTTTCTATTAATTATAGAACTGGTACCTATATTTTTTATAACTCTTCCTGTAATAAATTTAAATTTAGGTGATCAATAATTGAAGAATAAAGAAAGAAGTTAGAAGTATTTTAATACTATTTCATTCCAGTTTTGTTGGAGCAAAGAGCTTTGTTTTTCCTCCAGTATTTCTCTTTAGCCCAGCTGATTAGAGCAATTAGCCTTGCCTTTTATCGCTAAGACTTTTGGCTTGGAAATTAATAGGTAATGATATTAGCTGGTCTCCAGTTACTCCCTGAAACTGGGATGCATGATTTATTTTCTAGACTATGAGGCACAAGTCTGTGGTTAACCATCTTTGTTATAGAATTACTATTCTATAATTTGCTAGTTTTCATACTTAAAATATCTCATACACAGGGAAATTGTTCTAATTATATCTGGCTTATTTTATTGTATTCATCATCTACTATTTTATAGCACCTAAAAATGTGAAAAATGTGAAAAAGGTAGGATCTAGTGAAATGCTTTTAATCGATTTCATGCATGTTGTCATTACCAAAATGATTAGCTGAATCTCTTTTTTTTTTCTACTTTCAGTGATTTCCTAAATAAAAACCAGGAGCTGTTGCAAGATTTATCAGAAGTGACTGACGAAAACATGCAGTTGATAGAAATACTGAATACTTTGTTTTTCTTGCCAACCAGACGACTTCATAATTACGCAGAAGTTCTGCTGAAGCTTGCTACTTGTTTTGAAGTGGTAAGCTCCCATGGATACCCTCTTTGAACACTTCGGAAACCAAGGGTTATATTTTGTTTGTCTGGATTATACCACCCCACAGTCTGGAACTCCACTAATTTAATATCTCTATATTTTTAATAACTTTATTTTTCTTAATAAAGGGAAATGAAAGAAAAACATATAACTGTAGGTAAATCTAGTTTTCTTTGCTGTGGATTTACTTTCAGGATGTTGTCAAGATGAATTTTATGAAACTGTTCTAAAGTCGATAGCCAAGTATGAGTGCTACTCATTGAGTAGTTGTCAAAGTTTATTGAGTGCACACCGAGGACAAGTCAGTAGAGCTCTTTACAACCCTGGCTTTCTGTATAAACAACACACACCTGTAAGGCAGTGGAGTTAACACCTGGCCTAGACTCAGGCTAGATTCATACCAGGTATCTGGGTCACCTGGGCATGTGCTGTGAGAAATCACAGTGTTAGAGGATGTCCTCATGTGTTAACTGGCCTACTTTCTATATAAAGTTAGGCAGAAAATCCTAGCAAATTAGCACTACTCTAGTATGTGGGTATATGATAAAGCAGGTCCTAAGACATTTACCTTTGAAATTGTACTGAAATGTGTCGTGTAGTTTCATTTCCTGTCTGAAGGGCTCCAGAGAAGCTATCATGACTTCAGGGTTCCTTATAGTTTAGAATCTTTTTAATCTTTAAGTCTCTGTCTCCTTATCTGGATAGATTTCAGTCTCCAGAGCTGATGTGGGCTTCCTACATTTGATCATACTCAAACTGCAGCCCTGCAGGTCTTTTCTTCAGTTTCACCCGAACAGGCTTAGTGTTAGCAGTGGAGGTTTGAGCTAGATACATGACCCAATGAGATACAGATTTTACCTTAATGTATCCTCAATTAATTAAAAAATCATCCCTCCTAGATCAACTTGGAATGTTCAAAGAGTCTGATACTGTACTATTTCCAGTCTCAATGTCTGAATTCTGTGTAAAAAATCCAGACTCCACAATCAGATGCCCATTTTTGTTTCATCTACCCTGTGTCCTTCATGTTAGTTCAGATTCCCTGGAGGTGGCACTCATATGCTTTATATTTTTTTCCTGAAACACCCCTATCTCCATCCTCTATGTGGGAAACCTTCAAGACCTGGGTCAAAAGTCTTTTTTTTTTTTTTTTTTAATGAAAATGAAGCCCTCTTTGACTGTACCACACTTCCTTCCTTTCCCATCCCTTAATAATTAGTTACTCCCTCCTCTATGCTTTGCTACTACTTTATCTCTCCGTTATTTTCTTATCACATTATGCCAGTGATCTTTAACCAGAGTTGAGGATCAGAATCATCTGTTGAAGTTTTTTCAAAACACATGACTATGTTCTGTCAGTTCAAATGGTCATTTATTAAGTTTAAGATACAATTTAGATATATATATATATAAACATAACTAGGTAAAAATAATACCTAATATTTACTAAATGCACTTCATGTGTCAGGTACTGTTCTAAGTATGATATGTATATCTATTCAATCCCCACATTAACCCTGTGAAGTAGATATTATTATTACCTCCTTTTGCAGACAAGAGGATTGAGGCACAGCTGAGAATTGGTAGAGCTAGAATTCATGTCCATTCACTCTGGCAGCAGAGTCTGTTCTTTTCACTTTACTATGTTGTCTTTTCTGATAGATAATCTGTTAACAAAACCACTGCATTGTTCTGGTACGCTGTGTTTTTCTATCTTCTCTGCCTAGTTATAAGTTCCTAGAACACAGACATTGTACCTTACTTATTTTTTTATCCCTAGAACTCAACAGAATACTCTATTTGTGGTAGAAACCATTAAATGTTTCTTAAACGAAAGGAAAAAAAGAATATCATTGACCCCAAAAAGCATTGGGGAATGTAAAATAATTACTCATGAGCATACAAGATCATCCTTTCATCTCACCTTCTGCCCACTCCCCACAAGGCCCAGCAGTTATACCCTGTCTCATGACTGGTTCTGCAGACCCCTGAGGATTCCAGAGACCCATGCAGGAGGGCTGCAAGGTCCAGCTGTTCTCAGGACAGTGCTAAGACATTTGCTTTTCTCACTGTGCTGTCATTTGCACTGACAGTGTGAAGTAAAGATGAGGAAAACTGCTGGCTCCCGGGCATGAATCAAGATGGAGGCACCAACTGTAGTCATAGTCGTTGTGTTCTTTGTTGCCATGTATTTGCCGTTAAAAAAACAAATAAAAAAACATGCAGTTTCACTTAGGAATTCTTTTTCTATTTTTAAATTAAAAAATCTAATTATAGTTGACATACAATATAATAACTGGTTTTAAATATACAACAGTGATTAGATATTTACTAACTTACAAAATGATCACCCTGAATATTCTCTTAAGAATAATCTTGGCCCTGGCTGGTGTAGCTCAGTGGATTGAGCACAGGCCTGCGAACCAGACAATCGCAGTTCGATTCCCAGTCAGGGCACATGCCTGGGTTGCAGGCTGGTTCCTTGCAGGCCAGTTCCCAGCAGGGGATGCACAAAAGGCAACCATACATTGATGTTTCTCTCCCTCTCTCCATCCCTTCCCCTCTAAAGATAAATAATAAAATCTTTTAAAAAATTTTTAAAAAAGAATAATCTTGATGAAACAGTAAAAATTAATCTTATTTAACTTCAACCATGGAGTATACATTTTTTATTGTTGTGTAATTGACATACCACATTATATTAGTTTCAGATTATAGCATGATGTTTTGAGATATGTGTATATTGCAGATTATCACCACAGTAAGGCTAGTTAACATTCATCACCATGCATAGAAGTATACAGCTTTCTAATATTCTGCATGATGAAATGGGAAGTCCACTTAAAGCAGCCCTGCTGCATACCAAAGTATGGAGTTTTCTCAAGGAAGAGTACAAGATGGTGATTGTTTGAGTTGAGAGCTACTGTTTTTTTTAAACTTGAAAGAACAGTTAAACGTTTCAGATTTGGTTTTTTGACAGATATTTTCTCAAAATTGAGTTCATGATGAGCCTGTCACTTCAAGGAGAAAACTGACAGTATTTGTTGCCAGTGATAACATCTTGACTTTTAAACAAAAAGTAAAATGTGGAAAATATGTTCATATCACTGTGAGCCTGGCAGTTTCCCAGCACTTAAAGTGATGAGATTGGCAATATTAACTAATGTGATTTTGTGTCAACATTTGGAAGGTCTGCATAACTCAGTGAACCAATAGCCAAATGTCCAATCTACACATTATAAAATCATGCATGGATAAGAGTTCTATTCAAAATGTAAGATGGACCAGTGGGTTTTTATGTAACAGGATACAAAAAGTTCACTCAATGTAGCTTCAGATTCTGCATTTCAGCTACTCTTTAAGAAATTATGGCACAAGTTTTGGTACAGTTTCAAAGGAGTCTCCCCATGATTATTTGAAATGGCTATTAAAATACTCCTCACTTTCCCAACTATATATTTTTATAAAGCCAGTTTTTTTCATATATTCAACCATAAAAGATTAAATGCAGTGACAGAAATGGAAATCCAGCTGTCATCTTTTAAGCCAGACAATAAAGAGATTTGGAAAAAAATGTAGAAAAATGCCACTTTTCTCACTAGACAGTTTTTGAAAATACAGTTATTTTTAATTTAAAACGTTACTGTATTTGAAGATATTTTTATTTCTCAACTATATCTTCAAATGTGGTAAATATCAATAGATGTAACCCACATAAGCAAAATAGAGGAATACTGAGACCAAAACATTTGAGAATTTCTGGTCTATCCTGAGTTCTCTGATTCTCTCCTCACTGGTACTGGCCAGTTTGTTTCTTTTCCCCTTGAGTTACTTCTCTGTTTCCTATGTACCTGTATGTCACAGTTTCCTGGGACCAAGGTGCTTTTGTTTAGCTGTACTTAGTGTACCATGTCTATCCTTAGGCTGGATTTCCTCTCTAAATTTAATAATGTGCATCCAAACCACACTGAGGCTACAGAATCCGGACAATTGTTTTATATTATTTTTCCCTCCTTTAATATATTGGCCTCCAGACATCTCCAGAATACCAGAAACTGCAGGATTCCAGTTCTTGTTATGAGTCTCTTGCTCTCCATCTCGGCAGGAAAAGGAAGGAAGCAGAATACACACTGGGCTTCTGGAAGACCTTTCCTGGAAAAATGACGGTAAACCATGCCAATTGTCATTACCTCAGCAAACAGTAGGCACCTGTCATCGTTTCCTTCATCCCTCACTTGTTCATGATAATAATGCTTTAATGAGCCCCTTTCTAAGGGCGGCCTAAGGACCACACCGATGGGTGTTCGAAACACCAACACCCTTCCTCATTCCTAGGAATTCTCTCTGAATTCGTATCTCACTTTCCTTCGTTTCTGTCTTCTTCTTAATCTCCTTCCGGTGCTATTTTTTATGAAATGTTTGGATTATATTTAATCTTAGGTTTAACACCAAGCTAAGCTATGACCAACAGATTGCTCTAAATGTGATTTGTATATTTTTCATTTTCTCTCTTTGCGTATCAAGGTAATTTTGATTATTTGATTTTATATTTGTTTTTAATTCCAGGATTCCTTAAGGAAGCCAGAGCGTCGACTGCTGTGTGAGAGCAGTAACCGAGCCCTCTCTCTGCAGCATGCCGGGAGGTTCTCTGTGAACTGGTTCATTCTCTTTAACGATGCCCTGGTCCATGCCCAGGTGGGCCAGATTCCTAACCTTAAAAAAGGCACTGGAAAGTGGAGTGCTATACTTACTTAATCAATTTTACAATCAGTTTGCGTTACAATCTGTTGTGATTTTGCTGCAGCTGTTGAATAAACAAGAATGTTTAGCTTGCATCTGGTATGAGACAGATTTCAGGGAGCTTTTTCAGTTTACATCTTGGAAATGAGTATCAGCCATGTGACAGGGAGCATGCAAGAGACATGGGGAGCCCCATTAGGATCAGCTATTTTATGGGAACTCTTTGGCTGAGATGGTGACACCCTTGTGGACTTAGCCATTTGGAACAGGTTATCCAGCAGAGACCCCAGGGCCCACATGGGCGTTCTCAGATGTGTCTCCATGTTCTTTGTTTCAGTTCTCCACGCACCATGTTTTCCCTTTGGCCACACTATGGGCAGAGCCACTTTCTGAAGAAGCCGGTGGTGTGTAAGTGTGTCCTCCCCCGCCTGCACCCTAATTCTTTCCCTCTGTTACCCAGGTTGTTTCCTTAGACATGAAAAAAAGCTCAGGAGGCCTCCCCGTTCTGCAGGCTCACCCTCCCAGCATGTAGACAGTAAAGTGGCCTGTTGTGGCAGTCACGACAGATCAGAGGTGGCGGAAGGGCGTCTCCATTGCTTACATCCCCATTACTCAACACAGAGCAGAGTAACTTTCTATTCTGGGACCCAAACCCAGGACACAACTGCATTGTGTTTAATTGACTTATGCTCTTCTCGAAATAAACAAGTTGCTTTTCATGTTTGAGAATTGATATTGTGATGACAAGTTGTCATACCTACTGGTATTTATCCATATGAATGTTTTAGGAATGGCTTAAAGATAACTACACCTGAGGAGCAGTTCACTCTCATTTCATCAACACCCCAGGAAAAGGTTAGTTAATTGTAGTATTTTCTTTGTCTTTGACGTAAATATTCCTGTCTCTAATGGTTGTAAAGGAGAGAAAAATAATACTTGCTTGGCTACTGATCCATAATTATGTCAGATAAATCACCATTAACCTAAGACTGTAGGCTTTTTGGTTTGTTTTTGTTTTTGTTTTTTTGATGTGACTTTATTTTAAACATAGAGCAGTGAATTCCAAGAGCCAACCAGCATTACCTAATTAATAAGGAAAGCATTAGAAGACACAAAAATTATTCACACCAAGGAAAACTATCAGGATTTAGAGCGGCGCTTGATGAGTTATTGCCTTAAGCCTATTTGTACATTTTGCCCCTAGACTAAATGGCTACGGGCTATAAGCCAAGCTGTGGATCAGGCTTTGAGGGGGTCATCTGATCTTCCACCTTATGGAGGCGGCAGCAGCATTCAGAGGCAGGAACCACCCATTTCTCGAAGTGCTAAATACACTTTCTACAAGGATCCTCGCCTGAAGGACGCAAGCTATGATGGACGTTGGTTTTCAGGGAAGCCTCACGGCAGGTGAAAACATTAAAGATCTATGGCTGAGTGAGGATGATAGTCTAATTACTGAGAAAGGAGTGATTATCTGAGACGTTAATTGACATGTACTATTCTTTGCTTACACATTTCAGAGGGGTTTTGAAGTGGCCAGATGGCAAGACGTACTCTGGCACGTTCAGGAGTGGCTTGGAAGATGGGTAAGAAAATCGTGTAAAACACGAGGGTAAATTCAACTTCAGTCACAAATTAATGGTATTTTGTGGTCAGAGTTATTTTCAAAACAAGTAGTAGATTTTTGTTTTTGTTTTTTAGGAAGACACACCTTGTACTAGGGCCTATAATGCAGATGTGTGAACAAGAAGAAAGCTAGGAACCTAGGATGCAGCCTCGATTTACCTAGAGCAGATCATTTACCTTGACAGCCATGTGGTCTCGAATTACACAGCCTTGCATCTATTAAAACGGGACTGTGTTTTCAGTCCACATCTCAGTTGTAGAGACTGAGAACCTTGGGCAACAGTGATGGTGAGACTGTTGAGATAGCATTGCCCTCTTTACACAAAGGACATACAGAAATTTTCCTTTCAGAAATTTTAAATCATTTAATTTCTGTGATATGCTAAAGGGACAGTCTCCTATGTGATATATTATCTTAATGGTACTGAATGGCATTATTTTTGTATAAGCTTGTCATATTTTCTAACCTTTAGATATATTTACATGATAAATTTATGGCAATAAAGTATTTTGTATTGTGTTAGAGAAGTAACTTATTTTATGATAAGGATTACCATATATTTAGGTAGGATAGGTGATTTTTTTGTGTGTGCGATAATGTAAGTTTTTGTGATATCTTTTATTTTTTATTTTATTTTATCTTAAATATATGTTATTGACTATACTCTTACAGTTGTCCCATTTTTTCTTCTCTTTATTACCCTTTGCCCTGCATCCCCTCTCTCACTAGCATTCCCTACCCCCTTAGTTCGTGTCCGTGGGTTGTACATATAAGTTCTTTGGCTGCTCCATTTCCTAGACTATTCTTAACTTCCCCGTCTATTTTGTGCCTACCAATTATGCTTCTAATTCCCAGTACCTTTTCCCCCGCTCTCCCTGCCAGCACTGATAACCCCCCCATGTGAACTACATTTTGTGATACTGTTCCTGTTCTAGTTGTTTGCTTAGTTTGTTTTTGTTTTCATTTTTTAGGTTCAGTTTTGACAGCTGTGAGTTTGTTGTCATTTTACTGTTCATAGTTTTGATCATCTTCTTAGAGAAGTCCCTTTAACATTTCATATAATAAGGGCTTGGTGATGGTGAATTCTTTTAACTTGACCTTATCTGGGGAGCACTTTATCTGTCCTTCCATTCTAAATGATAGCTTTGCTGGATAGAGCAATCTTGAATGTAGGTCCTTGCCTTTCATGACTTCAAATAGTTCCTTCCAGCCCCTTCTTGCCTACGATGTTTCTTTTTAGAAATCAGCTGATAGTCTAATGGGAACTTCTTTTCAGGTAACTGTCCTTTTCTCTTGCTGCTTTTAAGGTTCTCTCCTGGTCTTTAATCTTGGGTAACTTAATTATGATGTACCTTGGTGTGTGCTTCCTTGGGTCCAACTTCTTTGGGATTCTCTGAGCTTCCTGGACTTCCTGGAAGTCTTACTTCCTTTGCCAGGTTTGGGAAGTTCTTCATTATTCAAATAAGTTTTCAACTTTTTGTTCTTCTTTTCCTTCTGGTTCCTTCTCCAACACCCCTATGATTTGGATGTTGGAATGCTTAAAATTGTCTTGGAGGTTCCTAAGCTTCTCATTTTTTTGAATTCTTGTTTATTTATTCTGTTCTGGTTGAATGTTTATTTCTTCCTTCTGCTCCAAATTGTTGATTTGAGTCCCAGTTTCCTTCCCATCACTATTGGTTCCCTGTACATTTTCCTTTATTTCACTATGCAGAGCCTTCACTTTTTCCTCTATTTTGCAACCATACTCAGCCATTTCTTTGAGCAGTCCGATTACCAGTGGTTTGAACCCTGCAACTGATAGGTTGGCTGGCTATCTCTTCCTTGCTTAGTTCTACTTTTGGAGCTTTGATCTGTTCTTTCATTTGTGTCATACTTTTTGTCTCAGTGCACCTGTTAAGTAGTAAGGGGCAGGGCCTTACGTATTCACCAGGGTGGGGCAACCCACATTGCTGTATTGTGCTGTATGTGGGAGAGGGGTCAGAGAGGGAACAGTGCTGTTTGCTTGGCTATTGTCCCACTTTCAGACATGTCCCCCACTACCCACAAGCAAATTGGGCCCCTCTGGTGCTGATTCCCAGGTGGGTGGGCTTGTGTACATTCTAGATCCCTGTGGGTCTCTCCAGTGAACTCTTTTGTGAGGCTGAGAGTTTCTCCTTCCACTGCACCTTCCACAGATTCTTATAGCCAGAGGTTTTGAGGCTTTGTTACCCTGCTCAGGAACTCTGGGTTGCACAGTCTGTCTTGCTCCTGTGTGATACCTTTTAATTTCCTTTTACTAAAACTTTACAATGAGAAGAGACTTTAGATAACCTGATTTATGCCCTTACTATAGAGTTGAAGGAACTGGGTACCAGGACCTTGTTGCCCAACATGATGTGACTAGTAAGTGGCAGAGATAGGTCTAGGACCAGGTTTTCTGTTTTTCATTGGACTTGGGATAAAACATTTAATCTCTCTGTGTAGTGGGGTTGATATCCTACTCCTCTAAGATTTGCCAAGTAGCTTAGGTAGTAGATACAGCTTAAACCAAGACTCCATATACCCCTTTCCTCCTGTGGGTAAATCTTTTCCCTTTTCTCCGTGTTATAATGTTTACAAGTGTGTACATATAAAAGGTGAATAGGTCATAAATGCATCTTCTGCCATTTTTTATTCTCCTCTGCAGGTATGGAGAATACCGAGTCCCAAACAAAGCACTAAACAAAGAAGACCATTATGTGGGCCATTGGAAAGAAGGAAAAATGTGTGGTCAGGGAATCTATAGGTAATAACATCGGAAATGTTGTTGGACTGGCGCTGCTTTTTCCGAGAATCATGTAAACTTAAATGTCTGTGTAGCCAAAAATTTCAAGGAGTAAATTTTACTTATTCTTTTTATGGCTGAAACTGCATGAAGTCTTATTTTAAAGTTCCCCTCATCTATCATAAGGTGAAGATACTAGGCTATTATTTAGTTCTTAGCAAAACCGTGCAAACCTTACAAACCCTAACTTTCTCATAAATTCTCCTAAATATCTTGCCTATAAATTTATCTTCTGTTTATTGTACCACTCTTATTTGGACAGATGTATCATTTGTTCAGAGATCACTCATTTCATTTTCCTGTAGGGAACTAAATGCACATTTTCCCCCCATGTAACCACAGAATACCACCTGTGGCATCTTAAATTACTTAACCTCAGTCATTCAAAAAATAAGATTTTGATTGGTGAAAAATAATCATATATACAAATAATTATAATTACCATTAAGACATGAGTATAATTTTATTTCCCAACTTTGCAAAGATAAGCATCAGAATTCAGTGTGCTCATGATGTTTATTCATTCTTTTTAACCACAGTTATGCCTCTGGCGAAGTGTTTGAGGGATGTTTTCAAGATAACATGCGTCACGGTCATGGTCTTTTACGAAGTGGAAAATTGACTTCCTCTTCTCCCAGTATGTTCATTGGCCAATGGGTAATGGATAAGAAAGCAGGATATGGTGTCTTTGATGATATCACAAGGTACAGTGTCTACTTCTAATCTCAAACTTTAGTGGGACAAGCTTTTTATAATTATATATTTTAGAGTTATCACAAAAATACATGGAGTATATGCAGATCTGTGCCAGGTTGACTATAATATTTAATTCCTGAGAGAGCATTGCTCTGAGTAAGGTATTTTTTCCTCTCACATTGTCTTACATTTGAGGAGATGGAGTTAACCACTTGAACTAGAAAAATTGAACACATACCAACCTAGGGTGATGGTTGGTATCTTCCATGTGATAATTGTTTTTTCCTCACTTCATCTTTATCATCATTGATTTTTTTTTAATTTCACCACTTTTCTCTCTTTGTGAAGGGGGGAGAAGTATATGGGAATGTGGCAAGATGATGTGTGTCAAGGGAATGGTGTCGTAGTTACCCAGTTTGGATTATACTATGAAGGCAACTTTCACCTTAATAAGATGATGGTGAGTCTGATATTTACACATAGTTATTATTGGTGTTTTTGAAATGTCTATGTTAATTAACTTTTACATTTATCTGTTAATGTTCTGCCTTATTAATACTATTTTTTCTGGTCTTTTAAAATTATGTAAGGCTTTGGGGGATATGTACTCTTAAGTTACGTTTCATTTTATGTATTGGGATTTTTGTTTTGTTTCTTCACATAGGGAAATGGGATTTTACTTTCTGAAGATGATACCATCTATGAGGGAGAATTTTCAGATGACTGGACTCTTAGTGGAAAGGTTGGAAACTAACTTTCTTCTTTCTCTCCCTAATGCAGTCTTTTACTAATTATTTCTTTGCTTTTTAAAAAGGCTAACTTCAAAGATTTTTCATGTAAATATACAGAGTTGTACAACCATCGCTGCAGTTCAGTTTTGGAACATTTTCGTCACCCAGAAAGATTTCTGTCACCATCTCCTGCCCATCTGAGTCACCCCTCGTTTGTCGCCCCCAGTCCTAGAAAACCTCTAATGGACTTGATCACTCCATAGATTCTCCTGTCTAGGTGCTTTTGTGTAAATGGAATCGTGCAATGGTCGGTCTTTCCTGCGTGGCTTCTGCGCTTAGCACAATGTTTTTGAGGTCTTCCCACATATGGCATGTGCAGTGCTTCATTCCTGTTTTTTGCTGAATACTATTTCAAAACCACACTTCATTTATCTCTTTCTTGACCAGTTAATGTGCTTTCTTTTGTTTCCAATTTTAAACTATTATGAATAATAGTCTGTAGACATTTGAGATCTTTCTTATTTTTTAATATAGGTACTGCTTTAGTTTGATTAACTTGTTCATTTCATTCTGCTCAAAAATTTTACTAATTTTTTCCGTGATTTTTTCCCTTTTACCAAGGGTTTATTTTTACATACTCTCTTTGCACATGCATGTACATACTTTTTAAAAAACAGTTGGGGATTGGTAAAGGGTAAGTTAAAAAAGGGAAATGTTATCCATTTGGTGCTCTTTTTTCTTCTCGAATTTTAACATTGAAAATACTTTCTCTAATTTTGCATTTTCTCCACCTCTGCCCTAGGGAACACTAACTATGCCGAATGGAGATTACATTGAAGGCTGTTTTAGTGGAGAATGGGGATCTGGGATAAAAATCACTGGAACCTACTTTAAGCCTAGTCTGTATGAGAGCGATAAAGACAGACCCAAAGTTTTGTGAGTGACTAATGTTAATTCTGGGTTAATTATTGAATGATTTTAGTTGTCTTGCTTTTATCAGAGCTGGTTAATATTTTAAATGGAGAGCAAGGTTTTAAAATCTTCCTTTTTAACAAAGTGTAACTTCTTTGATTTGTCAACTGACACTACTATAGATGGCTACATCTAGAGTCTTGGTTTAGATGAAAGCCTTACAGCATAGTTGTTTAAAATGGAACTGTGGGAATAATATGTGTGTGAGAATAATGCTACTGTTAATGGTGCAGGTATCCGAGCTGATTGAAAGAGAGCGTTCTTAAATGGAACACTAGACAACTTGATTTTGAAAAGTAAAGATCAAGGCCAAGTATATGTATACCAAGTGGAATAGTATACCCTGCACATATGGAAAAGAAAGGCAAAATATAAGTCTCTAAGTTGTACTTTGTCTTCTGACAAGTTTTTGGCATATGTATATTTTTCTTTATTGATTTCAGCTTTCACTTTGTTTTTGTATTTTGGTAGCATCTCAGGGAGTTTTTTTTCTGATGGGAGTTTGATATATTTTTTTATACTATGTTTATTTTTAGAACCCAGTATGCAGTTCATTTCATGATTCCCATTATGAGTCGTGCAAAGCACAGGAAGTCCTTGTTTTAACAGCAATCAATTTTACAGAATCAATTCTGTGGATATGTAACAGGCAAAGGAGTCAATTCTGATGTGCTTTGTACTTAATAAGTCATAGACTTTAGTAGCTAATGAACATTAAGTAGTTAAAAACTATCTCTTTGAAAATTCAGTGTTTTTTAAAATAGAACCACCATCAAATCTAGGAAGTTTTGTCACAGAAGCACTCTCAGTCATGTGTTAGTTTCTGTTCAGGATTTTTGCACACACACCAACAAAAGGTGATTAATTAAAGCTTGGCATGACTTTTTTAGCAGGAAGCTGGGAAATCTGGCAGTGCCTCCTGACGAGAAGTGGAAAGCAGTATTCGATGAATGTTGGCATCAGCTGGGCTGTGAAAACCCAGGCCAAGGGGAGGTTTGGAAAGCATGGGAAAATATTGCGGTGGCCCTGACTGCCAGTCGGCGCCAGCACAGAGACAGGTGAGTGCATGCCCGCTCAGCACAGGGCAGAGTGTGGTAGGAAGAAGAAACTTAAAATCGTTGAGTACTTAAGGCTTGCCACGTTTAACATAATACAATTTAATTTAAAAGGCAGTGATGTACTTCTTCTTCTGGATAAGAGAGTTGAAATGCACCTGCTTTTATCTTCTACTGAACTCAACTATAAAACCCACACAGAATATATAGAATAGCTATTAGAAAACTCTCGACACTTCTCTAAAGAGGACATACAGAACATCCAGAGACACATGAAGAGATGCTCAATATCGTTAGCTATCAGAGAGATGCAAATTAAAACCACAATGAGATACCACTTTACACCAGTCAGGATGGCTATAATAGACAAAGCAACAAACAACAAATGTTGGAGAGGGTGTGGGGAAAAGGGGACCTTAGTTCACTGTTGGTGGGATTGCAGACTGGTACAACCTTTATGGAAAACAGTATGCAATTTTCTCAGAAAAATAAAAATGGACCTGCCTTTTGACCCAGCAATTCCACTGCTAGGATTATACCCCAAGAATCCTAAAACATCAATTTCAAAGAACCTATGCACCACAATGTTCATAGCAGCACAATTTACAATAGCCAAGAGTTGGAAGCAACCTAGGTGCCCATCAGTAAATGAATGGATCCAAAAATTGTGGTACATATACACCATGGAATTTTATGCAGCAGAGAGAAAGAAGGAGCTACTACCTTTTGCAACAACATGGATGGAACTGGAAAGCATTATGCTGAGTGAAATAGGCCAGGCATTGAAGGACAAATACCATATGATCTCACCTTTGACAGGAAGCTAAAGAATAAAACAAACAAGCAAACAGAATAAAAACAAAGACGCTGAAATAGAGAACAAGTGAGCAGCGACCAGAGGGGAGAGGGAAGGGAACTTAAGGGGAAAAAGGGGGAGGGATTTTGAGGAACAAGTATGAATGACACAGAGATGAGGACTGGGGGGGGGGGGGGAATGGGAGGGAGGGGGAGACCGGGCGGGGGGGGGGGAAGAGAAAAAAAATGTACTTGAAAAGTAACCAAATAAAATTAAAAAAAAAAAAAAAAGAAAACTCTCAAAAGTAAATATCATCCAGTGTATTGGGGAAGAACACCTGAATTCAGAGTGCCACTGAACCAGCCATGAATTTACTGGGCTTTTAAACTTCAGTATTCCTCAGCCTGAGCTCAGTGTAACCTTGAAGGAAGCATTGTGCCAGTAGATTGACAGAGATCCAGAAAAACCCTCCGCTCCTGGCTCAAGTTGTGAAAAAGAGACTCTTCAAGCTCAGATAGAGTGGAGCAGATACACTGGGTTTTCTTTCCCTCCTTTTCCTCCATTTTCTCATGCTCCAGCCCCCAGGTGCTTCTGTGGTAGGGGCAGTGACGATGGCTGCTTGAGAAGCCATGACAGGAAGCTTGCAGGAGCTAAAACTCACAAGGGAATTCTTTCTCCTTTGGTGGATCCTCAGGCCCAAGAGTCTTGGCCAAATCCCATTGCTTTTTTTGGTTTCTCTTTCTGTCCTTCTACCTCTTGGCTCTTGATGTGGTGCATTGGCAGAAGTGGGCAGTTTTTGGCCAGAAGAAATGAAAGGGGAACCAGAAAATGCTGGTGAGGTCATGCAGAGAGAGAAGCTCTGGAAAGCAGCCTTATGAAGTTGTTTATGAATTCCTGGGTTCACCCCATACTTGCACAAGAGTGGATTGGACCCTAATTTGCATATCAACGCATAGAGAAGTGAGCTAACAGGGAGACTTCCACCCAGGTCCCAGACTGACCCCTAAGTGGTATACTCACAGACAGATCCAAGTAGGACTACTAAGGCTTTATTTTTTAAATAAGTCTATTCTTTTTTTTCAATTCCAGTCACTTTTTAAAAAGATTTTATTTATTTAATTTTAGAGAAGGAAGGGAGGGGAGAAAGAGAGGGAGAGAAACATCAATGTGTGGTTGCCTCTCACATGCCCCCTACTGGGGACCTGGCCTGCAACCCAGGCATGTGTCCTGACTGGAAATCGAACCAGCGACCCTTTGATTCCCAGGCCAGCACTCAGTCCACTGAACCACACCAGGACTACTAAGGCTTTGAGTAGGGCAGGACTACTAAGGCTTTGAGAAGTGAACTGGCATTGGAACCACAGCCCAAAGCAGGCTGAAAAAATACATCAGCTGCTCCAGAGACTTCCCAGATGACTGCATATTAAGGATTCACTAGAGGGGTTCACTGGAGAGATGCACAAGACTCCACATATAGTTGTACTCTCAGTTAAGAGTCATTTCAGAAACACAGTAAGTATCCACAGCCAAATCATTAGGGAAGAGGGCACCAGCTGAGTGAGTGTGGAGGAATTCATGGGCAAGATTCCTACACTCACTCCCTCCTGAGGGGGTTACACAAGCATGCCGTTTCCCCCAGGAGTGAAATGCAGCCACACATGTTCAGCGTTTCTGCCCAGGGAATCCCACTGGAGATTCAGTGCCCAAGGTGTTTAATGGAGGCTGGTCATATTGGCAGCCTGTGCTTAGCATCTACCAGGATTCTAGTCTCAGAAGGAAAGATGTCCATCATAAAGCACATTCTTAGTATAGTCTGTGGACAACAAAATACCCTTATCAGGTAGGGAATATTTCATATCTGTATAGGGAACTTTGAGGAAGCGTAATTCCCAGGTAGCAGCGAGGGATCAACTTGACAAGCAGGTCCTTCTAAAGATAATAATTTCAAGCCTACTGTGTGTACTCTATTATGCATTTCAACATTCTCCATAAGAGATAAATAAGACTCATAACATAATACTCAAAATGTCCATGATATAAACCAAAATTACTTGGCAATCAAAGAACCATGAAAATCTTAAGTTATTTAGAGAAACACAAACAATAGACCTCAATGTCACCCTAACATAGATTTTGGAATTATCTGACAAGAACTTTAAAGCAGCTAGTATAAAAATGCTCAAAAGAGCAATCACAAACACTTTAGATAAATGTTTAAATTGGTAAGTATAAGCCAAAAATAGAAGCTACGAAGAAGAACCAAATCATTCCCTAGCTGGTGTGGCTCAGTGGGTTGAGCACTAGGCTGCAGACTGAATGGTCATCATCAGTTTGATTCCCAGTCTGGGCACATGCTGATCTCACACATCAGTGTTGCTCTCCCTCTCTTTCTCCCTCTTTCCCCTCTCTCTAAAAATAAATAAATAAAATATTTTTTAAAATCTCAACTTTGAAAAAAAAAGAACCAAATCAAAATTTTAGAATTGAAAAATACAGTAACCAAAACTTTTTAAAAATCACTGAGTAAATTTAATACCAGATTAGAGATGACAGCTGAAGAGTTGGTAAACTTGAAAATAGATCAATAAAAATTATCCAAACTGCAAAACAGATAGAAAAATATAACCAGAGCTCTAAGGACCTGAGCATCTAATATTTGTATCCTTGGGATCCCAGAAAGAGAGGAGAAAAATTGCAGGGCCGAAAAACATATTCGAAGAAATAATGGTTGAAAATTGCCCAAGGTTGGTGAAAGATATAAACTTACAGATTCAAGAAGCTGAGCAAACTGTATCTTAGGAAAAAAAGCAAAGATATTCATGTACAAATGCATCATATCCAAATTGAAAAAGAATAATATTGAAAGCACCTGGATAAAAATGATGCCTTGTATATAGGGAAACCGCAGTTCAAATGCCTGCACATTTCTCAGTGTCCTTTGTGGGCCTAAAAAAGCACAACAGTTTTCCTGTGCTAACAGAAAAATTACAGATGTGCTCTTTTATTTCTCTCTTCTTTTTCTACTCTTTCTTATTTTTCCCCTTTTCCTCCTGCTTTTCTTTTCACCGTTTGCCTTTGTTTTTCACATCCTTATTCTTTCGCTTGGCCAGTAACATCCACAAGATTGTTGAGCGTTTGGACCTAAAGACCCTACAGTACAGAAAGAAGTTGGGGCCTTTTTTTTCCCTGTACTTGGGATAAATGAGAATTGTTTATAGTGTTTCATTCATGAAGTTCATGATACTTACCTTCTACTCTCCCTCTCGGTAGAAGAAATAGAAACTCCCAGAACTGATAAAAATGGTGGACTTGCCCATTTGTGTGATGCAGACAGTCAGCCTTCACTGATAGAGCCTGTGGTAAACGTTGATATTTTAGACCTCCAGTTGACCGTAGCTAACTATTGTTGAGTGTTTCCAAGGAGAGTGAGTGAATTTTTATGTAAAACCGTATCTTATTTGTTTCTCTAAAATACTATAATAATAATGATTGTACACTGTTTCTCATTTCTGATAGGTTATAATCTAATGATAGGGTACCATTACCAAAACTACTGTGATTACTACTAGCACATGTTTTGTCTAACTCTTCATCCAAAGCTTCCCTTTACCTCACTACCTGTTGTAGTATCCTCATTATCTCCTTACTTCTTGAGCTTATTTTTATTTCTTCCTTTGCCCTTTGATTTGATTTCTTTTTTCCTTAGCTCTCTCTCCTTGATATTTTGTTTTTCTCTTGTCACTAACAAATCTATCACAAATTTTCTCTCCAAGCCAATGTTATAGTATCTTCCAACACCATGGTTTATATTAGAGCAGAATCTTTATCAATTTATTGCTGTTATGAAGCTCATTAAATACTATTTTGAATGGCTGTTACATAACTTAATAGCAGGCTCATTTGGACCAGAAAGGCTTTCGGGTGCTCTGTTTTATCCCTAGTTGGTGATTATGTTTTATGTGCACATTACAGTTATTTTGCTTTCCTGACATAAAATTCACAATAAGTTTTCTTTTCCCTTTTACTAGTCCAGAGATACTAAGTCGTTCACAGACTCAGACACTGGAGAGTTTGGAATTCATCCCTCAACACGTTGGTGCCTTCTCAGTAGAGAAATATGACGACATCAGGAAATATTTAATAAAGGTAAAACCAGAGTCACAGTTACACCAGCCTTGTCAGTTAATGATTCAGCAACCACAATATGTCATTCAAATCTGTTCACAGCTTATTTTTACCTTAAAATAAGTCTTGTTTTTGCTTTCTGTGTATGTCTTTTGCTAATTCTCTGACTAATAAAAGCACATTTCTGTATGAATATTACCATATAATAACGGTAGAACTTTTTTAGTTTTATAAAATGTTCAAGAGGGGTTTTAAGAACTAGGGTCAGAGTTTAAAATGGCTTTTGTTAGTAACACTAGCAAAGTAGAGCTTTTTAAATAGAGCAGGCCGCCTCCATCCCCTGGTTAGGCTGTCTTTGCTTCCTTCTCAAATGCCGTACAATCAGCTACAGTTTAACTCTGACATGTATTGAAATGAGGTACAGGAACGAGTATGAGTGAAATCAAGGAAACTGAAGAACTACTGTTTCAGAGCAAAATCAACAGTAGTTATTTAGTTTTCTCCCAGGTAACACTGTATATATTTTTTGTGAAGTTTGAAGTATGTTAGAACCTTTCTTTTAATGATATTCTTTATCAGTATATCCAAAGCTATTTTCCCAAGATGTTAAAAGGATTTTTAATTAAGATTAGGAACTCCTACTTTATATAATTTGGGTAGACTCTTCACTTTCAGAAAAGTTGAGTATTTGAGTTTTCCTGGTCCATAAGTTGGCTCCTGAAATTTTGAAAGTTGTTTATTATTTATGGATTGTTTCTCTGTTAGTGCACATTGACCAACTTCATTGATGCCCTTCCTGCTCAGGCCTGTGACACTCCTCTGCACCCCTTGGGCCGGCTCGTGGAGACGCTGGTTGCAGTGTACAGAATGACATATGTGGGTGTGGGCGCCAACCGCAGGCTGTTGCAGGAGGCTGTGAAGGAGATTAAGTCCTACCTTAAGCGAATTTTCCAGCTGGTCAAGTAAGAGATCTTTTCATTGAAGCCTGCAAGTTGTGGGATATTAGTTTATACTAATGGCTTGGGTATCTTCACTCTGAATCTAGAGAGTACAACTTCATGAAGAATCTTTAATGTTTCCCTTCATCACAGAAATTATTCATTAAGAAAATGGTTTTATACCAGAGATCCTTAAATAGACTGAATAATGGCAATATGTTTTTACTTTATGTTTATGTATGAGAATAAAAAAAGAACCTTAGCCATTGTTACTTATTTCCTTTATGTATTTCTTACTCATTATGTATAAGAGAAGGCTAAAATAAATGCTATTTAATTCTAATTTTGGTATGAAATACAGTAGTCTTACATGGATTTCATCTCTAGGCAAAATAATGTCTCTAAAACCTAACCACAGAGAAGATAAAGTCTAATACAAAGTTTTGTCCCTGAATATTTATTGTCACTTGACAGCAACAACATGTTTGTTCACTTACTCAACAAATACTTACTGAGTGCGTCTATGTGCTAGCCACCATTCTAGCTCCTGGAGGAATTTATCAGTGAATAAAGCAACAACAAAATGTTTGAAATCTATACTGTATAGAGCTTAACACTGCCGAGGAACAAAAGGTGTAGTATGTCAGATGACAATAAATATGATAGAGGGAAGAAGATGGGACTGAAGGTGAGATGCTGCTATTGTAAACAGAAGGTCGAGGCCTGACTACTGAGGTAATACCTGAACAGAGACTCTGAAGGAAGTAAGAAAGTGGGCAAGTGAGCTCTTCTGAAAAGAGGGGGTTTTTTGGTTATTTTTTGTGTGTTTTTAAATTTTGTATTTATCTTTAGAAGGGAAGGAGAGAGGGAGAGAAATATCAATGTATGTATGGTTGCCTCTCATGTGTCCCCTGCTGGGAACTGGCCTGTAACCCAGGCATGTGCCCCGACTGGGATGAAAAGAGTTTTAAGGCAGCAAGCAGATCTGGAACTAGTGAAATTCAAAATCTTTTACTGGGTATAAAGAAAATATTATGTTAAGATAACTAGGCAAAAGTTTGAATTTGTCCCAGAAAACTTTGTTATTAGCCTCAAATTAATAAATGCATATGGAAATGTTTTATATTTTAGGGGGTATTGTGATCTACGGGAAAGACCACTGGGTTAGGAGTGTTTAAGCTCTGACATGAGCAAGATGAGTATAATGAAGTTAAGTTTCCTGACCTTAGCTTTCCCCACTATAACATCAGGGACAGAGGCAGGGGCAGGGAATAAATTTACAAAACTAGAGAAGATTGCAGACTGTCTTTAAAGAGAAAGGGTCATGGTTAAAGTCTGTAAAAATAATGAGGACAATGAACTTGTTCATGGTAGAGCCCACCATTTGCATATAAGAGATTAGAGATAAAATGTAGGGCAGATTCAAAGCCTAGGGAAAAAAATTCCTCAAGAATTTTGGGCCCTGGCTGGTGTAGCTCAGTGGATTGAGCGCGGGCCTGCGAACCAGAGGATCGAGGTTCGATTCCCAGTCAGGGCACATGCCTGGGTTGCAGGCCAGTTCCCAGCAGGGGTCCCATGAGACACAACCATACATTGATATATTTCTCTCCCTCCCTCCTTCCCTTCCCCTCTAAAGATAAATAAATAAAATCTTCTTTAAGAAAAAGAAAAGAATTTTGGAATAGTGGCGGCCTGATCACCTGGAAAATTTTTTCTGTAACTTTTTATATAAATACTTAGAATTATATGGATTTTAGAAGTAAAAAATATATAATTTTATTAACCAATGCCACCCCAATACAATTAATTTAGAGCAAAAGTTTTAGCCCTGACTGCTGTAGCTGAATAGATGGAGTGCCAGCCTGTGAACCGAAAAGTGGCCAGTTCAATTCTCAGTCAGGGCACATGCCTGGGTTGCAAGCCAGGTTCCTGGTTTGGAGGCGTGTGAGAGGCAGCTGATCAGTGTGTCTCTCGCACATTGATGTTTCTCTCCATTCCCTCTCCTCTCTCTAAAAATAAATAAAATCTAAAAAGAAAGATGTAAGCAAAAGTTTAAAATTTTTTTACAATAATTGGGTTTTTTCTTAATATTTGACATTTAAGTAATTTCTACTGATACTTATCTGTACTCCGAGAAAATGGTCTCTGCTAAAAGAGTTTATACAGATTGACCTCAGATGAGATTTGCCAGTAAGAGAAATATATATAATATAGATCACAGTTCTTCATTCTTAAATAACTAGACAGAAAAAAAACCATGGTACATGAGAATTTTTAGTGGTATTATTAGCTATGCTCTTAATTCTATTTTGTAAGAAGCATCAGTTAAGAATCTCAGACAACTAAGATATTTAGTTAATACAAAGTTTGATATCATAAGTCCTTAAATAGATAAAGTAATGGAAATGTGTTTTTACTCTTTTAGACACTCTAGAGGTATAATTGCATAATTACATTTTTTTATTACTCCGTAGGTTTTTATTTCCTGAGCTCCCTGAAGAGGGCAGCACAATTCCTCTCTCTGCTCCTCTACCATCTGAAAGGAAACCCTTTTGCACTGGGATGTCCGATTCCAGATCCGAATCTCCAGAGCCCGGGTAAATGGAGTTAGGTGGAGAGAGGGAAGAAAGGTGGTAGGGACCGAATGGCCCTATCCAAAGCATCCTGGAAAAGTTGTTTTTCTAGATCTCTGTTTCCTTATTTCTAAAATGATGTTGGACTGGTAATCTCTGTAGTTCCTCTTAGCTCCCAAGTTCGTGAAAATAGAGCCACGAATGACTGGGCTCAAAGGCAGCTGAGCAAAGTAACGTCATGCTGACCTGGAATAACAACAGAGAAATCAGCCTCAAAATGGAAACCAAGTAGATTTTCTGCTAGATTCGAGTTATGAAAAGAATTCACAGTCCAAGATAAAACTCCAGAGCTAAAGCTCCTCATGTGAACTCCATATGTAAAAGTAGAATAGTTTTATTTATAACTGCCTTTTTACTCAAAATTTCCCATCTTTACATTCAGTTTTGATTCTATAATTGAGTTTAAATGTTAATGATTTTTTTCTCTGGTGATTTGTAGTTACGTGGTAACAAGTTCGGGGTTACTGCTTCCTGTGCTCCTACCTCGGCTGTACCCACCACTGTTCATGCTGTATGCCCTGGATAACGACCGCGAGGAAGACATTTACTGGGAGTGTGTTCTGCGACTAAATAAGCAGCCAGATATTGCTCTTCTGGGCTTCCTTGGGGTACAAAGGTAAGTACAGTAGTTATGAGTGGAATTGAGTGGTTTTAATTTAAAGTGAAAACAGCGTTATTAGGAATTTGGTACTTTGAGGTCTAATTATGTATATGATATGTAGTTTATTCCACAAAATAGTGATATTTAGTAATTGTTTGGAGTGTGTTTTTTATTTGTGTATACACACACACACACACACACACAAGCACACATATATTTAAATTTGAGTTATCCCACCTGATATTTTGCAGTTCTTTAAAGCAAAATACATATATCCACATTTTCATAAAAAGCAAATTGTATTCAGTCTTTGGCATTCTTCCTTTACCTCTCTTTCCTCCTTCCTCATGTATAATTTCCAATTTAAAAGTTTTAGAAGTGCTCTTTGTGTTGTATGGCATTGTTTCTTGTTATTCAGGGGAATATTAAGTAATTATGCTTGTTTGCTAGTGCTGTGATAAGGCCAGTCACCCCAATGCCCAATAATTACATATTTGTGCTATAAAAAATGTGAATAAACCTGAATTGGAACACACATTTTTCCAGTGGAATAATTTAATAGTGAAAATGAGATGACACTGAGTGGAGGAAAGCTTTTGGCCAATGTTGGGTCATATCCGTAATATGTAGGGTTATTAGAGTATAGAATGACAAATTTGTTAGGGATGTGACAGAAACTTTTAAATTACTTCTGGAATGTTTATTAAAACTTCACCTGTTTGTGGCATTTATTTTAAATGGGGGACAGGGAAGCTAGTAGAGCCATGACCTGTTTTTATGGGGATTAATTTGCCATAAGTAACAACTTGTAATAACAAAGTGTGGATTCTGTTGTAGGAAATTTTGGCCAGTGACCTTGTTAATCCTTGGAGAGACTAAAAAGGTATAGTAGATTTTAGTTTCCTCCACAACTTTACTTTTCTTTGGAATGGGGGATTTGAGAAATTTCCATCTTACTTCACTGGACTAGTACCCAAGCCTGAGTTACTCACCAAAGACCTCTGCCCTGCCATCCGTATCATCCTGTTGTTACAGTAAAGGACAGCTGTTCTCACTGAGCTTCATCAGTTCTCTTTTTTGCAGGTTTTGCCAACCACAAAAGATGCTTGTTTTGCCTCAGCTGTAGAATGTCTACAGCAGATCAGGTAATCTGATTGTTTGAAAAATCACATAACTCAAAGTAGTGGTTAGTCTGTGAAAAAATTAATGAGACCTTAGTTTCATTTAAGCTTTAAGCAGCCCCTCCACTCCTAGATGGTGTCAATCTCAGCCTGGAGATAAGAAAGGCTCTTCTGAGACATTTAGATTACCTTTTACTCTGCACAGCCCTTGCATTTTAAAAAGTGGTAGAGTGCCTACCCAGAAACTTGTCTATATAATCACATCTTTAGCCAAATGGAAATTAACTGAATTATCACTCAGAGGAACATGTATTAGAAAAGTAAGATCCACTCCAGTAAAAGGAGATGATGTATGACTTAGTGAATTCTTGCAGGTGAATCCAAGATAGTTGGCAGCTTCTTTTCTCAAAGAACCGTAGGATTATAAAGGTGATCCCTTCCAGCGATTCATTATGCCTGATGTGTCCAGTTTAAGGCACATGTATCCCAGGAGAGTATTCATTCAAAACTTACTATCAAATGGCTCTATTAAGATTATAAGGTATCTTTTTGTCCTTTTTTTCCCCAACAGCACAACATTTACTCCATCGGACAAACTTAAAGTCATCCAGCAGACATTCGAAGAGATCTCACAGAGTGTCCTGGCATCACTGCAGGAAGACTTCTTGTGGTCCATGGACGACTTGTTTCCTGTTTTCTTATACGTGGTGCTGCGGGCCAGGTGATCAGTCTTTCCGACTTTAACATTAGTCACTATTTATTTTAACATGTATGCCTTTTGCTTTTTTAAAAGATTTTATTTTTACATGGAGGGTAAGAGAGAGAAACATCAGTGTATGGTTGCCTCTTGTGCATCCCCAACTGCGGGCTTGGCCTGCAACCCAGGCGTGTGCCTTGACTGGGAATCGAATCTGCAAACCAGTCCACTGAGCTGTACCAGCCAGGGTTTCATTTGTTTTTTTTTGAACTGATGACAGGAATATGTTCTTCCACTAGGGAAAAAAATCTATTTTTATTAACCCACTTCACTATGGAATTACCTCTTCATTGAGCTATTTTTTTGCCTTCAAACAGATTTTAAAGAAGGATGTACATAGAAGTAGAAATAACTCAGTATCTTTTTTTCTTACTGTGCAGGATTAGGAATTTGGGCTCTGAGGTGCATCTCATTGAGGATCTGATGGACCCGTATCTTCAGCATGGGGAACAGGGCATAATGTTCACCACCCTGAAGGTGAGTGTCGGTGTAAACAAACTTACTGTTTGTTACCTTGAAATCTGTCCTTCATTTACCATAATGTAAATCTGTCATTAGCTACTTTTCTTCTTTATAAAAGTTTAATGCAAACATTTTAAGTACCTTTAGAGCACATGTTATTAATATTTTAAAATATAATATATTAAAGTACCAATCAGTTAATTATTATGCATAAAGCAAATTATTCACCATGCAATATTCTCTATAAACTGATCATTCAAATCATTACAGATGCTTATGAGTGTGGACCATCCATATAAATGTAACTCTAGGAAAGAAACAAAGAATTCTTAGTGTCAAAAAAAGTATTAAAAAATGGAGCTATTTAGTGGTACTAAGATGGCAACTCAGAAGGCAGTGTGAATAGAATGAATATGAATTGCATCTTCTTTTTCATGTATTTACTGTAACCAATAGATTACGAATGAGGTCCCCTGATCTGGGTGCCCTCCGGGGGTTGTTGACAGTCACTTCCGTTTTTCTTGAACTACAGTAGAATCATTTTGAAGTTTATTGGAAGAACAACAGGTAGAAAATGGCAAAAACACTCCTGAAAAAAGAGAGGGAAAATACATGCACTCTGCCAGGTTAGAATTATAATAATTAAGATAGTATGTTACTGTCACAGGAATAGACAGATAACTATTCAATAAATGGAAAGGATGGCCCCTGTGTAGACATTATTATAACAAAACTTTCACATGTGAAAATGGAAAAACCAGACACAAATGGAAAAGGGGTTTATGTAATAAATGGTCAAATGGATAGCTCATTAAGAATTTTAGAAGGAAAGTGAAATCAGGGTGGAATCACTCACCTTGCAAATTACAGACACTTTAAGGTTTAATACAGAAAAAGAAAGAGAGAAGGAAAGACAGACAAGTTAAAATGAGAAAAAAATGTATAATTTAATGTCAGTTTTCTGGTTTGGGTTAATTTTTTAAACTTTTCAAGGTAAATACTATTTTAATTAAATAAATAAAATGGAAAAGGGTGCTGGGAAAGGAAAATACTGACCACCAATGACTTATTAACTACTTATGTTTATTGAAGAGCATCGCTAAACATATCACCTAGGAAGAAATTTAATTAATACTTTTATATGTAAGGAGATGCTCAACCTCACTGAATAAAATAGTACTGCAGATTTAAACAATGTGTCATATTGTGCCTGCTAAATTGACAAAAACGTTTTAAAATTTAACCAGTGCTGGTGGGGGTATAGTGTAATCAGTATTATTCGCATATTGCTCATAATAGATTAAATTAAATTGCAGTTACCCTTTTGGAAAACAGTTGTTATTAACATTGATATCAAAAACACTCGAATTGCTTGTGGAGTTTGCGTAGTCCTACTCCTGGAGACTTGTTCTTACTAAAGAATGGAAAACATCTGTATGATTTGGATGAAGTGCTCTTTGCAGTGCGAGTGGCTCCCAGGCCTGGATACTTTCATAATCACCTGGGGATGCTGCTTAAGAATGCAGTCCCGGAAGTTCCAACTCACTAGGTCTGAAAGGATGCTTAATCTGTGTGCTTACCGAACACACTAGGTGATTCCGATTTCAGTTATTTGTGTACCTTATAATGAGCAGCATACTCTAAATGTCCAATTAATAGTGGCTTGCAAATTGTACAATTTCTACTTAGTGAAGAATATTATACAGCTTGTAAAAAGTTTTGTGTGTATGGGTTTTACAATTAGAAATGTACGAAATTTTATCTATTAATTAAACTAGGCAGTAAAGACATTGGATGGGGGCTGGAAGAAAACAGGAAAAATGAAAGTAACTGATTTGGTCGGGCTATTAGACTTAATAAGGGATTTCCTTTTTTTAGTCCTATGTGCACTGCTATGTTTATGTAATTTCTAAGAGCAAATTTGAAATTGTATTGAATTTTTTTTCAGGCATGTTACTACCAGATCCAGCGTGAGAAGCTTAACTAGGCTGCATAACAGCTTGACAACTGGATTATCTATACTGAGTGTTACAGCACCATCTGGCATCTTCCCGTAGTGGCAAAAAAGGATGGTCTTGAAATTAGGATGTTGTGTTACTTTGGTGGTTTTTTTCTGAACCTTACTAATGATCAGAGCCCCGAGCCCAGAAGAAAAGACCATGCAATTTAAAGGGAGAGTTGAGAAAAATGTAGAAATCAGAATCGACTGGTTCCTGGCCAATAAAAAGTTTTTAAAATACCATACACCTACTGTTTGAAAAAAAGAGGATATCTCTTCCTTTAGTAAAGGTTATGCCAGATTCATGGCGTTGCAAGAAAAGTTCTCAGTATAGCTTCTACATTATAGAAGATAATGGAGAATTTGGAGTGTCCGGCGTGCCTGCAGTTACCCCAGACCCCTTTGCAAGGAGCAGATTGCACTTGAAACTGTGGTAAGCACACTATGCCTTCCTGAATCCTGTGCAGTCATGTGTGCATCGTGCTTCTTTGCTGAGAGAGAGGAAAGAGAACTTTTGAACAGTTTTAACTTTTTCTAAGCTTTTCCACCATGGTATTCATCTGGGAGACATTTGATATAGTGACCAGCAAACCACAACCCCAAACACGGAATGCATCTAAATAGGAGTATTCTGCCTCCTGAGTAAAAAAGAACATAGGAATTTTCTTCTACAGAGTGATTACACTGGAATTTAGATACTGACTCTGCACTGCTGTGGATCCTCATTTGTTCATGTGCAAACGCCGTGTCCCAGGCCTGTGAAGAGAGCCTGAAGAGCTTTTGCATGCGGCTGTGTTTCGGAGCAGGACAAAAGACTAGGAGATGGGGAAGCGAAGAACTGCATCCCTCCTACATCCTACCTAGGGTTGGGGCTCTTCCCTGTACCTCGCATTAAATTCACAGAGGGGAAGAAAAAGGAAACAAGCTTTGGCTTTTCCTGTCTCAAAAGTATTATGACACTTCAATGTTATAGTGTTTGTTTTTTTTATGTCTGATTGTAAGTGGTTGGTTTATACTGTGTAAGTAACACTAGTAGCTGTTCTGAATAACATAGGTGCTCTTCCTCATCTCATCTTCACAAATGGTGAGCGTATGGAGTATCCTCCTAATTTACTAACATCAGCAGATGTTAATTTGGAAAAAGGATCATGGTTTCTGCTCTACTTTATAATCAAGACAAATGTTTATTAAAATATTGTTTTGGAATGCTGGCTATAATGTAATGGCAATTTTCATAATAAAAGACATTGATCTTTATGAGGTTGTTTTGATTACAAGAGAGATGGCACAGAGCAGCCTAAAAATGTAAAAGAAATCCAGGCTTAGTATTTTTGCTTACATTGTAATCCATGCCTCTTTGTATTGGCCTCAGAGGATCCTTTAGGATTTTAGACATCTCTTTTTAGAATAAATGTAAGCTTAACTTTTTGTTTTGTTTTTGTTTTTATTTAATTGTTGTTCAAGTACAGTTTTTCTGTTTTTTACTCCCATCCCAGCCCCCCCCCAGTGCTCCCCACCTCCCTCCCATTTCCACCCCCCTTAGTTGTTGTTCATGTGTCCTTTATACTAGTTCCTGCAAATCCTCCCCCTCTCCCCCTGTATAAGCTTAACTTTCTGATCCTAATAACCTGGCTCTTCTTTTATTTTATTGTTTATACTATTGCATTGGTCCCTGCTTTTTGCACAAGGACAAGGGTCTTAAAAGAAATCTGTTATTTCTTTAGACAAAAGGCACATTTTGATCATTACACACCTCTCTCTCTCTCCCTCTTTCTGCCCACCCCCCCAAACAGATTCAGGGAAGGGAAGAGTGAGGAGTTAAAATATTCTGGTAGGAATATTAGGCCTCAATTAATCATACTCCTGCTATAATGTCTTCTCAAGAAGCCTGTCCATTTGTCTGGTGCTTTGGGATGAGACCAACACTTAAAGATTAGTTTATGTTAAATACTTCACATTAATTCCACATATGACTTATAAACGCAAATGTACCGAATGCCTTTGACCCCTTAAGAGAGAGACCCTGGGCCTGTGACTGAGTGGATTGAGTGCTGGCCTGTGAACCAAAGGGTTGCCAGTTCGATTCCCAGTGGGCACATTCCTGGGTTGCAGGTCAGGTCCCCATTATGAGGGGTACAGAGACAACCACACATTGATGTCTCTCTTTTTCCCTTCTTCCCCTTTCTAAAAGTGAATAAGTAAAAATCTTTTTTAAAAAGTTATTTTAGGTGCAGCAAATGACGAGGGGCTGAGCAGCGGGCAACATGTTCCATGTTTCGGAGAGCAGGGTGGCCGAACCAGCTCCAGGGCCATGAAGCCCCCGGCCTGGAGCGATCTTTTCGGAAGTCCAGAAGAAGGTGTTCCTTCAAACCGACCCAACAGGATGGCCTCAAATATTTTTGGACCAACTGAAGAACCTCAGAACATTCCTAAGAGAACCACAACCCCCCAGGGGGAAAAGGAAGTGGTATCTTTGAGGAATCAACACCTATGCACACTTCACAGCGTCTGAACCCACCTGGTGGGAAGATCAGTAACATTTTTTGGTCGCCAGTGATGGCCACTTTACCCTTGGCACACCCAAACAAACCCAAGCACCACGTACTCTTGTGTGAGGAAGACCCAAAACTAGTCCTTAAAGCCACAGCGAGTACCGTGCCCAGAGAAGAGCTGGGTGAGAAAGGTGGCTGGAGAGAAGCAGACCCTGCTCCGGAGCCCCAGCCCACACCCTCTGTTGACAGCCAGGAGCCCAGGTTGGGCCCATGTCCTCGATCTCACAACAAAGTCCTGAATCCACCTGCAGGCAAATCCAGCATCTCCTTCTACTAGAGAAGCTACTGCTTCCCCTGTAGCCAGATAAGAAACTCAAAAGATAGGATTTCAAATAGTTTCCTTTAGTCCAAAGGAATGGGGGCTGGGGAGAGGGTTTCCCGAGTATCTGATGCCACTGCTCAGGTCCCACTGCCACCAGGGGAGCCGCAGAGGACCACGCCTTCCAGACTACCGAGAAACACCTTTGTGAGGGAAGTGTGACTCCTTGGTGAACGCTAATTTTGGATGTGAGGAACTCTCAGGTGGGCTGGGTGGGGAGCTGGTGCGAGGCCACGGGACCCAGATGAAGTGGGATCTTCCATGTCCCTGTGGCTTCAGTCTGCCAGCCAGTGCTATCTAGAAATCACTTGACATAGTAACAGTTTAAAGCCTCAGAAATCTAGAAACAGCACTGGGCATAAATCAGAAAGCTATTGTAAGTCTTATGCTTTATGGAGAAATTTTTACCCTGATCCTTTATCTCGATCTGACAGGAATCTGCCTTTTGCTCATGAGGGACTGGTCTTGGTCTATTCACAGACTGGTTTTGCTTGTGAATTGTTTCTCTTTTCCTCTCATCCCTGAGTCGTGGCTTTTGCTCTTTACCAGTGATGTGGACAGTTCCTCTAGCTACAAAGCCCACCGAGTTCCGCAAGACTAAAACCGTCCAGATACATCCAGGTAATTGGGTTATTTAAATCCTTCATGTGTCTTACTTTATTCCTGTTCACATTGGGTAGGAGAGATGCTGGAGAATCTTGGGTTCTTAGATTTGAACTCTTTAATGATATCTAAAGAGCTATTCTTAAACAGCAGCTTTACATAAGTGACTATTGACTGGTCTATTTGTGACACCTTTCTAGGAAAAAGTTACTCAGGTATATATACCAAAGATGAAAAGTTTACTTAGGCCACCCTTTATAAAGCTCCACAGAACCTCTGGACTATATTCTTTTCCAGAAGAGACTTGGAAACCTTAGGCCAAAAGATGTACTAGTTGGGCAGCAGAGCCCCAGATGGCCAGTTGCTTTACTTGGTCGGGCAGAAGTTTCTCGCGTTCAGCCTCCTAGGGATATAGTCTCCATTCACACTCGGGATCAGTACACAGAAGGAAGGGTTTGTGTGCTGGTGGCTTTTGTTGTGGGTGCCTGCAGAGCAAATGCCAAGTGGTAGAAATGTCTTCATCTTCCTTAAAATTGAAAGAAACATCTGTGTTGAGTTATAATCACAGCGGCTGAGACACTAGTGCCTGCAGGAGCTGCCTGCCAAACCCCACTTCTCACACCTGGCGCATCGAGGGGATCTGCGTGTGGGTTTGGCAACCAAAGAGTTCCCTCCTTTCAGTTCTTGTGCTGACTTTGCAGCCAAGACATACTCATTCTATGTGACTTTACCAAGTACTTCCTGTCTCCGGGCTTCAAATGGTCACTTTTTAAGAAATTTGTTTGGAACTCAGACCTTTTTTACCCACATTAAAAGATGTTGTAAGTGGTGGTTAGCTTTTAAGGCCAAACACACTAATTTGTTTACCTTGAAATGTGCTAATGGTGAAAATGAGCTGCCATTTATAGCTACATTTATTTTTCATGTACAAGAAAATGATTTGTCAGTTCCAAATTGGGTTGCTAGGAAGAACCTGACGTACCGCTGGCCCTTGTGGCTTCGCCCCCACTGTCGGCGGAATGACTCGAGCTCTGGACGCGGGTGGAGATGGGGAAGCCGAAGATGGGAAGAGAGGCCTGGGCGGGGGGTGAGGAAAGCAGGAGCCTCTGGGCAGCAGCGACTCCTCCAGCCTTTTCTCCTCATCTTTACCCCCTTTTCCTCCCTGGGGCCTTAGCAGTGGGTTAGTTTGGTCGCTGAGAGAAGCGAAAGAGGAGTTTCTGCTCCTGTTGGGCCCGATGGGGATGGTGATCCGTATTTGGGAAATTCTGTAGACATTAGGGCTGTCTGTGTCTGGAAGACTGATTAACTGTTAGCGTCCTGTTCTCAACCTCTAAGCTGCATTGAGAAATCACCAGTCTGTGTTTTTATTAAGCCTTAAAACTGTGCATTTGGTGCCAACCTTTTTCTAGATCTGTATCAAAAACAACAAAACTGTACTTACATGACAATGTAATTTTGATAAGAACATTTTGTTATTTTCACAAGGGGGAATTGGATACAACAGTTGAATTAAACTTAGTAATCATGTAAAAAAAAGTTATTTTAGAAAAGTATAAAAAAAGAGAGAGGGACCCTAGGGTAATTGTGGAAATGAACAGAAACACTTGGCACCCACTGAGAAATTGTCAAATGCTTGGTAGGCTGTTCAATTCATTAAAAAAAATATGTGTGTGTGTGTGTGTGTGTGTGTGTGTATGTATATATCATCCTTTTATTGGAGTCATGAATGAAATTGCCCAGTTACTTTAGATTTTTATAGTATATTTATACCTTTCAAATAGCATATTAATAAATTTTCATTTTTCTTGGGGGAAAGCCTTAAACCTCCAGGCCCATGTCTATAAATAGAAATACCTAGGTCTCATGCAGCAGTTTGCAAAGATCTCACACACACCAATGCTTGAAGCAGCCTGTGAGGCAGACGTCCCCCCACCAATCCCTGTTTTGCAGACAAGGAGTCACTGTGATTTGCTCACTGTTAAAGCTGAGACTCAAACCTAGAACTGCCAAGTGCTCTTTCTACTACAGCTGCCAGAGATGCCATTTCATATGGATTATGCATTAAAGTTCAACATGAACTTGAAAGTAAAACATGAGTTGAAAATGAAAACTTTTGGTAAAATTAAGTGCTTTTGATAAAATATGCTGTGCTGAAAACATTCACAAATGTATCACATCTCCAGCTTGGATTTTCATCTGTGGAGAGCAGGGGAAAGCCATAGGTGTGCTTAGGACAAAGCAGCTGACAACCCTCTTTTGATGGCTGTTTTTCACCCTGTGCTGTGCTGTGAGCAGCAGCATTTCTCTTGTTCTTTCATGATACCTACTTTCAAATGTTCTCCCCCTCACTGCAACGTAAAACTTCCAAATAAAGAAGTAGCTCCGGTCTGAGATAGAGAATGGGCTAAGTACGAAGCTCATTCAGAACAGGGGCTTGGTAGGGGACCTTTCAGAAGGGACTGCTACAGGCTTCATTATTGGCTCAAGAGTCTGTCATTGCTTTCGCAGTGTAGCGTGAGAAAATGATGAAGGTTAGTAGGTCAACTTATTCTCAGGTATCGCCACAGTTTTTCTTTTCATTAAAATAAAAATGCTGTCTTCTGTTGTAGGTGTCTGTTATCCTGAAATAGTCAACAAAAATATTGATCTTTATTAACTGTGTGCTGGCAATTTGAGAGAAAGTACTAAAGTGACATCTAAACACTATGTGAAAACACTCAAGTGAAGGTTGAAAATGATAGAAATTACTGGACTCTTCAGTGCAAGGAATATTTAAGATCTGGGACAGGAGGCTCGTGAGTAATTTAGTGGTTAGGCTTCTGTGGATTAAATCAAAGAGGATGTGCAGAGATTTTCTCTAGAACAGGGAGGTGACTGGCAGGTAATAGCTCTCCAGCATCCTACGAAGCTTTTCTCTGGGTAGGAGCAACATTCCACG